AGAGGTGGGGACCCTTTGAGAGCTGTATGCAACGTAATTTTATTTTAATATATGCCGGTTAGCGTACATTCAAAGTGGCAAAGTTATTCTAAGTTCCAAGTCTCTTCCAGCCAAAGAGCCATCCGATCCACTTTGGAAAATCTCCAATGATGGAGCACCCAACCGGCTCGTCCAGCCGACCCGCTGGGGATGAGGGTCCCGTCAAACGAGACAAACGGGCAGCGTTTATCAGCGCGGGCGCCAGCAGCCGTCTCTCTCTCTCTCTCTCTCTCCACTCGAGGGAGACGGGGGTGTGGGGTGGGGCCGGGAAGCTCTCGGTTCTCGGGCGGGCAAAGCAACGAAGGAAGCCGGCAAGCAAGACCGCTGTGGCAGAAAGTGGAGGGGCAGAGAGAGAGAGAGAGAGAGAGACAGAGAGAGAGAGAGAGAGAGAGTAGGCGGCCGGGGTGCTGACTTTCCCGGCTATCGCGAGAGGCGCCTCTAGGAGGGAAGGGAGGGGAAAGGCGAGAAGGAGGCAGGTGAGGGAAGAAGCGCAGCCGGAGTCTGAGGAGGGTTTGCGACGCCCGCAGCGGCTGCCTCGGTGGAGGGACGTCCTCGGCCGCCCTCATGGCGGGAGCGGGGGCTGGAGGGAGCGCCCAGGAGAAGCAGGCCACGGCGGCACGCCTGAAAGCGGCCCTCGGCGGCGCAGCTGCCGCCGCCGCCTCCGAGGAAAGCGAGGCTGCCGGAGAACTCCAAGCGCTTCTGGAGCGGGTTTTGGCTCCCCTGACGGGCAGCGACGACGCCGAGGCGGTGTCCGAAGCGCTGGGGTGGTGCCGCTGTTTGCTGGCGGGCGGCGAGCCGTGGGATAGCTTCGTGCAGGCGGTGAGGGCCTACGACCCGGCCACGCTCTGCGGCCTGGTGTGGACGGCCAACTTCGTGGCCTACCGCTGCCGGACTTGTGGCATCTCGCCTTGCATGAGCCTCTGCGCCGAGTGTTTTCACCAGGGCGAGCACGCCGGACACGACTACAACATGTTCCGCAGCCAGGCGGGGGGGGCCTGCGACTGCGGCGACGGCAACGTAATGCGGGAAGCCGGGTGAGTCTCGCGAGTGGGAACGAATCTCCCCCCACCACGCTCCCCGGGGCTTGCGAATGGGAGGATCCCGGGGGGCCGGGTTAGAAGAGCCCCGCATGGCCCCACTCTCTCTGCTCCCTTTTCTCCCCAGTGGCTTTGAAGGAAGCACACATGCAAAAAGAACTTAATAATAATAACCGTGAATGACAGGGCTGTGATCTGGAGGAACAGGTGGATTTATATAAGCTTCGTATAGAAGTAGCCACCTAGTCCTAGGCTGATGCATCTTACTACTTCATTGGGACTGTAGAAACTCATCTTGTGCCCATCTAGTACAGGTAGACTTCACTGGAGCCCATCATTCCTGTTGCTAAGTCACTAAGTGAACTGGTGTAAGTCGAGGACTACCTGTAGTTTGACACCTGTTGTGTCCATCTGTTGAATCAGGGATAAGCCCTTCGAAAGGAGCACAACTTCATGTGTTCTCTGTAGCATCATATGTACTGCTCCCAAAATGTATGTAGAATCTGATATATCGTGACATAAATTTTCGTGGGTACCACGAAGCCGGTTTTAGTTTGTAGAAGCCATAATAAATTTATTTGTCTTTAAAGAAAAGTTATTCTTAACATTTGTTGCAAAAAGTGCTGCTTACATTTGTTCCACAAGCTACATTTGTTTGTGAGTTACAATCCTTACTTCACCAAGGAGCCCTAAATTATTCTTAGAAGAGAAAATATCAGTTACTGGATATTGAAAGTTAGGTACCAATATTTCTGCAAGCCAAATTCAAACTCTTGGGAGATTTTTCTTGGCTCCTGGTGGCCTGTAAGGTTTTGCTTTTGAAAGTCTGATAGGGTTAGTGTATCCATCAAAACAAACGCACAAACATGATAGAAGGCAGAATAATGTGGCTCCATATCTCCTGATTTGTACCTTTTAAGTATGAGATTGAAAAATATACTGCAAAAGATACAGTTCTCTTCTTCTCATTAACTGTATTTGTGTCAGTGCCCCTTTATTGAAATTTTACATTAAGTTGTAAGAATAATAATGTTGCAGGACTCTGTATGGTTAGTGTTGTTAAGTTTGCATCTTATATATTCCAGGCCAGTACTTCTTTTTATTTTGTGTTTTTCCTGAAGTTAAAAACATTGGCTGGACTCACTACACCATGCCAGTGTATTAATTCATGGTTCTGTATAATATATAAAACCAGAACATTGTAGGGTTAGGTATCTTATGTGAATTTGTTCAGTAGTATCCCTCTTGCTAGCTACAGGTCATCAAGTTGTAGAAGTTTTCATATAATTTTCTATGTTTTCTCAAAAATGCCCATGACTCTGTTACCCCATATGCTCTTAACACTGGTAGAAAGTAATTATGTCTTTAGCCTTTCCATATGAATGTTTATATTATTAGGAGGCTTTATAAAGTTTTCAGTAGAAAGTCTTTGCTAGGGCTCATTTTTGACATTTGAGAAAAAGAGAAATCCAACATACCAAATAACTGTTATCTATAGTAGGAAAATAGGAGATATGGGGCACACAGACTGTTGCACCAAAGACTTGTTTCTAATTTCAGTCTAGGTTAAATTTTGGGACAAAATAATATCCAAGCAAATTACCAAAACAAATTCTTCTTCAACATGTTTTTATTTTGTTGCAAAACAAAACGGTGTATATGTCTATCATAGTTTTTGCAATGTTTGTTGACTTCTGAATTTGAATGGTAGTGATGGGAGAAGGAGCTTTGAAACATGGCTTAACTAATACCTATAAAGAATAATGGAGGGGCAATGGGATAAATTGAAGGATATACTTGAAATAGGTTAGAAAATGTAGATTACCTTAAAGAATGGAGTAAATACTTAAAATACTGAGTTGGGAACAAGAAAGTAGCCTGAGAGAAGAGCTGACTTATAAAATGATGCAGAGAACCGCAGTAAAAGAGATGACACATGGGGCACATTTCCTTTTTGAAAGTAACTCAAATGTTGGGTAGAGCTGTTGCTGGTGATGCTGGGATAATAGTAGATGTAAAGTTGCTATGAGGGCATATTTTCAGTTCAGTACTTTTTTGGCAGGATGAGATGATTGAATGCTGCCAAACTTTCCTGTCACAGAGAAAGCATGTGATAGAGTCATCCTATCCTCTGCCTCTATGTCACAAGTTTGATACATGAACTTTGAAGTATGCCAGTATGTAAACAAGTCTCAAGTGTTGACTACTCAGTGTGACAGACATTGCCCATTGTTATTAGTATGAATTTGGAGAGAGAAAACAAAGATACCTGTGGGTCCTCGTCATTTTTATTTTCATGCACAAGCAGTGCACGTGACAGTAGACAAGTTATTTTTATTTAAAACATTATCACATTTTATAATTTAGTGGTAATATAATAGTAGTGTTTAGATTTGTGGAAAAGGTTACATCTCACTGTAAGTCATAAAGTGATTGCTTATAGTTTTGAATATTATATGAACCTAGTCACTGAGATTGTAAATAACAGTTTATGATGTATTTCCAGTTAACGTTACAGTGAAATAATCCTGCATTGTATGTTATTATCTGAATACAATATCTGAAGAATCCTGGAAGATACAGCAACATGATGAATCAATAAATGTTTTCTCCTGCATTTTAGCACTTTGGGAAACAAACTAAAATTTTCTACTTGAAGACAGTTTTCGTATTTAGAAAAAGACTTGCCACACTAAAATAAAAATTTTCTCAATGAGTGTCTGTGCATGCACATGCGTGCACAGTCGCTCACAAACCCGTATTATATTTTCTCTCATCTTTTTCCAAAGTTTTTGTCAAAAAGTCAGATATGATGTGGAGTGGGGTAGTTTGCCTATAGATCATTGGTATTGACATTTACAGTGATTATGCCTTACTTTTTTTGTTCAGGGGAATTTTTGGAATGGAGTATTATTCAGTCAGGAAAATGAAAGTGGTAATGAAATTATTTTTCCATGTATCTTTAAAGAGACAACTTTATCCCACTCTGCTGATATTTATGAGAGTTAATCATTTATTGGACATAATTAACTGAGCAAGGGTTGACAGCTATGCAATACGTTCTTTCTAATGGGTCTTTTTATTGTTTACATTTTGGAAATGTAACTGGCTATTCCACTCCATTGACTGGAAGCACTCCTAAGCAAGAATGTAAATACTGAGTGATGGTGTGGCAAAGATGAAAAACCAAACCTTTTCTTTTTGGAGACATAGGGATACTGGAAAGCTTTATGTAATACTTATTTACATGAAAATAATTTTTTTTTGCATTCTAAAGATATTACATACTAGTTTACACCTGAGATATTCTATGCCAATAAAGTTCTTTATTTACTCTTTATATCTGGAAAAAGAACATATACTAAACATAAAATAAGTTTTGCTTTAAATTCAAAAATTGTACGCCAAAATGTTCTGCTTCCAAAACTTCAGGCAGAATCTGCCTACCTGTTTTGTTTAGGCTAGGAATGCTTCCTCTCAAGATGCTATGGGAAAGTGATCAGAAACAGTCATTCTTGTTTTATACTTTATATTTGTGAAAGAGAGGACAAACCCTGTTAACGTTACCACCTAGGCACCTGAAGAACATGGTACAAGTATAGAACCAATCTAGGTCCTCTCCTTACAGAGGAGAAGTTCACATGGTTTGCTTGCCATCTGCCTGTTCTGGAACCCACATGAACTCAAAATCAATGTGAGTAGTCCCCATTTGGAGCGGGAGGAATGTGAGGTGGCTGTAATTGATGTACAGAATAGATAGGAGACTTGTAAGCTTTCTCCAGGTATATTTGGAAAGTCATTATTGTGACATGAGCAGCTACATAAATCAAATAATGGTATGAGCATACAATTTGTTCCTGGTAACTGCTCTTAACATTCATTTTGCAGACATGTCACGTTCAGCAAACCTCTATCATTCTACACCATTTCCTCCTACCCAGCTGCCTGTAGTCAATACTGTTGTGACTATTCCCTTTATAAATCACTGAGAATACAAACTACTATCCCTATGAAAATGTCATACAATTCATTGGGATACTTGGGGATCATGCCAAAGGCTGGATTAAGTTATGCTTCCAACTCTTTTTCACATTCATATACCGGCAGGAATTTTGATTCATTTAATTTCCTTTTTATTTTCTTGTTGTGGAAGGGCAAAAAGCAAATAAAAACAATTCCTTGTTAAAAGTATCGAGATGGCTTTAGTTGCACTTGTGGATGACCTGTGTTGGGCTCGAAATGAGGGTAGCGTATCCACCCCAGCTCTCCTTGATTTCTCAGTACTCTTTAATACATTAACCATGGTGTCATTTTGGAGCAGACAAGCAGTTAGGAATGGGGAAGCACTCACTTGTAGTGGCTCTCCTTCCTCTTGGATCAGCTCCAGTTTGTGTTGTGTTGGTGTAAACCTAGACCTTTGTTTTGTGGGGTGTTGCAGGGCTCTCCTCTTCCCTCTTGAACACACATGAAGTTTCTGGGAGAGGTCATCACCCACACAGGATATCGTATTTTATTTTAGTTTTTATTTATTTTTGTCAATTGCTTACAAGATAATAGGTATAAGTAAAAACATAGCTATGAATACATGGATACATATAAGAAAAATAAAAAATAAAAGAAACAATAGGACAGGGACGGTATGCACGTTGGTGCGCTTATGCACGCCCCCTACAGACCTCTTAGGAAAGGGGTGAAGTCAATAGTAAACAGTCTGAGGTTAAAGTTTTTGGGGTTTGGGGAAGAAACCACAGAGTCAGGTAGAGTATTCCAAACGTTGACCACTCTGTTGCTAAAATCATATTTCCTGCAATGAAGTTTGTTGCGATTAACCTTGAGTTTGTATCTATTGTTTGCTCTTGTATTGTTATGGTTGAAGCTGAAGTATTCATTGACAGGTAGGACATTGCAATGTATGATTTGATATACTATACTTAGATCGGACCGAAGGCAGCATAGTTCTCGGTTTTCTAGGTCTAGAATTTCGAGTCTGGTGGCATAAGGTATTCTGCGATGAGTAGAGGAGTGGAAACTCTTCTTGTGAAATATTTCTGCACTTTCTCAACTGTGTTAATATCAGATATGTAATGTGGGTTCCAGACTGATGAGCTGTATTTGAATATTGGTCTAGCAAATGTTTTGTATGCTCTAGTTAGTAGTGTGATATTACCAGAGAAAAAGCTACGTAGGATTAGGTTAACAACTCTTAACACCTTTTTGGCTATGTAATTACAGTGGGCTCTAGCACTTAGATCATTAGAGATGAGTACTCCAAGATCCTTGACAGAGTTTGGATCCTCAACAAGGTCTTGACTATTCAGCCTGTATTTTATTTTCTGATTTTTTTTGCCAATATGTAGGACAGAGCATTTATTTGTTGAGATTTGAAGTTGCCATTTGTTTGACCATTCTGATACATAGTCAAGGTCTTTTTGAAGGGTAGCAGTATTGTCGGTGGTGTTGAATAGCTTTACATCATCAGCGAAGAGAACGTAGCTGCTCTTGATATGATCACAGAGGTCATTTATGTAGAGTATGAAGAGAGTTGGTCCTAGAACACTGCCTTGGGGGACATCACTGTTGACAGATACAGAATTTGATAGGACACTCCCAATTTTGACCATTTGTTGTCTGTTTCACAGGAATGCTTCTATCCAGTTATGCAGGTGTCCAGAGATATCCTAAGATTTTAGTCTTAGTAGTAGTTTGTCATGTACCACTGAATCAAAGGCTTTACAGAAGTCTATGTAGATTGCATCTATTGCTTTGCCCTGATCGAGTTGTCCATAGGTTTTTGCAGTGTAAGAGTTGCAGATTACAGGATAGTTTTTTCCTGAAACCAAATTGTTTATTAGAGAGTAGGTTGTTTGTTTCTAAGTGGAGTATGATGGATTGGTTAATAATTGATTCCATGACTTTACAGGTGACACAGCATAAAGAGATTGGTCTGTAATTTTCAACTAGGCTGGGGTCTCCCTTTTTGAAGATGGGGATGATGGTGGCTTGTGACCATAGTTTTGGCAAGGAGCTGGTCCTGAAAGATTTTTCAAAGATTATGCTTAGAGGTTCGGCTATGGCAGTGGACAGCTTTTTAAAGAAGTAGTCACATATTCCATCCGGTCCAATGGATAGAGATGGTTTTAGATTGCGTAGTCCTTTTTCAACATTGTCTTCTGTAAAATCAACATGTATTGGATCATTGTAGTTGTCTGTGGTTTGACTAGGAAATACTGGGCATGATCCATTGCTGTTTACAAATACTGAGCCAAGGAATGTGTTAAAGAGGTTGGCTTTAATGGTGTCGTCATTGCAGTCTTTACCATTAGGTCCTTTCAAGGGTGGGATGGACCTTGAGTCTTTTAGTTCGTTGTTTACAAAATTGTAGAAAGCGCAGGTGGAATTGGTGCATAGAAGGTTTTCTTCTTGTTTAATGTGATAATTGGTGCATTCAGATTTTATCTGGTGGCATAAATTTTTGTATCGGCTTTTGAAGTTGGCAACATGACCAGATTTGTTTTTCCACCAAAGTTTTTTTTTTTTTGATTGAAGCTTCCTTATTGTTATGGGAAATTTGTTTTTTCTGGTTTTGGGAGTTGTTAATGGTACATATAGTTTGATGACTCTTTTGACTTCAAATAGAAATATGTTGTAATGGTCTTCTACAGTATTGCATTTAGTGAATAGAAATTGCCAATCAAGGGATGAGAGATCGTTGTTTATAAGATCATAGTTGCCTTTTTTGAAGTTATAATTGGGGATTCCGTCGTTGTGATGATTTTTGTGTGGATGTATGTTGAGACAAAAGTCATTCATGTTGTGGTCACTGTTGGAAAAGGGTTCTTTAATTTGTATTCCGTAAATTGAATTCAAACTATTGCAGAAGATGAAATCGAGGCAGTTATTAAGTCTAGTGTTGTTGGTTACTAGTTGTTCTAGTCCCAGATTTGTTATTGCATTGTGGAAGGTTGGATGTTCAGTTGTACATTCGTTAAGGGTCCAGTTAATATGAGGTAAATTTAAGTCACCAAGAAAGATAAAAGCATATGGGCAGGATGCTGCCCATGTTAGTAGTGTATTTAGCTTGTTTGCATGTTCAATGTCATAATTAGGGGCTCTGTAACAAAGTAAGAACCGAAATGTGATATTTAAGGACAGTTCACAGACGATGGTCTCAGGAATAGCAAGCTCCTGGGTAACTTGGATGTTTTTTAGATGTAGGGACTTTTTATAGAACATAGCAACACCACCTCCTCTGCAGATTTCACGATCTGATTGGTAAACATGATAGTCTCTTACTGTGGTAATGGAGTCAGATGCGTTGAGCCATGTTTCACAGACAAATATAATGTCAAATTTAGCCGTATTTAGTAAGAGGAGAAATTCAGGTATTTTATTTACAAGGCTTCTTGCATTGAGTAGCTTGCGTTTAAGGCCAGTTGTGGTTGGAATGAAGGTAGCTAGGGGCGGGCGTGTGTAGTTTTGAGTGATGTTGGATTGGATGGGCTGGGGTTGGATGCGGAATTGTGGGTTGTGTGACTTTCTTTTGATGCAATCAGCTCGGTAGTCAATGTATAGGTCCTTTTTTCCATTGTCTAGATGGTTTTTGAGTTCTGTGCAGAGTTCACGGGAGTGGATTCTCTGCAGTATGGATAAGTGTGGTCTTGAGCGAAGTTTTTTGTGGTTGGGATTGGTTTTTGCAATGGTGTTTATTGGGTGAATGAATATGCGTTTGCTAGACTCATTTTTGCATACAACTCTACAAAATCTTGGGGCCATAGAGCCGTCATTGTATTTGTACCCAGGGCCATCTCTGATTATTTCAATGATATCTTCAGGAGAGATGTTTGTTGTATTTGATTTGCTTATGATATTGCAAACTTTGGTGATGTCCTCTGATTTGTTAATGTCTTTGAGACCAAATAAGATGGCATTTGGATGTTTCTGTTCATGTTCCATGGTTCTCTGATGAGTAAGGAGATATTATTTGTGGAATTATTTGAAGGGATAGTAATTGTTTGTGGCTGTGGTTTGGTGGTTAAAGTATCATCAGCTGCCAATTGATGGTGCACTGCTTAAAAAAGTCAAAGTTTTACCTTGATGTAGGTGTTACACATTCTTTCCCTGTTAATTTGTTTGTTATAAAATATTTTTTGGAGAAAAGAAAAGCTAATGAAATAAAATTATTTTTATCTTGCTTGAGAAAATGCGTTAATCTTTCAGGAAGTAATTCCTTATTTGAAGACACAGAAAAACACCTTTTCAGTGTTTGAATTATACCATTGAATTAGAAAGGGATCACCAACTTTTTCTGGTGTGCTAGTATTTAAAAATGGCTTTTCTATAATTTCATGCCGATACAGAGATTGGCTTAAGTATGGCATTAAGGTCAGTAAATAATCATAGCATTAAAAGAGCCATGGAGACCAATTCCCTTGCTCAGTGCAGAAAAACAATTTTAAAGATCCTTAATACTTCTAGCCTCTGTTTGAGCACATGAGGCAAAGGGGAGCTACTATCTTTTTAATTACAGATAGTCTTTCGGTTATGTCCACCTGTTCAGTGACCGTTCAAAGTGACAACAACAATGAATGAGGGAGACTTATGACATCACAGCAAGCCATGATTTCTGACATTCTCTGCTGACTTCCCACAAGCAAAGTCAACGGGGGAGCTGGCAAGAATAACAGTAGTAATAGCATTTGGTCTTATATGCTGCCCCATGGTGCTTTAGTCAGGATCGAATTCCAGGCTCTGGGCAGAGTTTGCCTGCAATACTACACTGTAACCACTGCACCACTAGGAAGTCAAGTCCCTCCTGGTCCTGCTGCCTTTTCACCTACCCTTGCTGTGTAATGCTTACCTGTGGCACTCTTTCATTCACCCACCTGTGCTCTGTAGGGTCTGCCTGCAGCTCTCGCCCAGGGCTCCCACCCACTGGTCCTGTGGTACAACCAAGTCTGTCAGAATGCAGTCATGGAACATTACGTTTTACAACATATTGTTTAGTGATGGAAATTCCAAGTCCAATTGCCATTGTAACTCCACTAATAACCTGTAATTGGCTGCATTCCATCAATTTGTCATTATGGTTAAGGTCTTTTCCTAACTTAACATTGGGATTTTCTTTCCTACAATTTAATTCCATGGTGCTGCATTTTGCATTCTGTGGCAATAGAGAACAGTTCCTTACTTTCTTCTGTATGATATCCTTTGTGTTTATGAGTTGTTTTCCAACTACTGAACTGTATATGCAAGGACCTTTCTTTATATCATTCAGGAAATTGTTGAAAACCTACTTGTACTGTCAGGCCTTGGGGGCAGGAGAATTGTGGAGCTCCCCTTTTGGCATAGTCTTGCTTTGTTTGGTTTTTAGCATTTGTACTTTTCTGGCCTATATGTATGTATACATACGTACATACATACATCAATTAATTTTTAAGTTTAATCTGGCTAGAGTCATTTTGGGAGTCAAGACAGCCTAAAAATAAAATATATACTTTTGTTAATTGTGATAATTTAATTTTGAATAACTTTATTTACAGGTTCTGCAAAAGGCATCGAATAAAATCAAGCTCAGAAGTTCCATCTGTTCCAAAAGATTTGCTGATAATGTCAGAACTAGTTCTTCCACAATTCATCTTCTGTCTCATTCAGTACTTAAGAGAAGGTTACAATGAGCCAGGTAACCTAGTATCAATGTTTGTGTTTTATGTCACAGGTCAAATTCTTAACACTACTAATAACTTTAATTTTGTTTTATTTGGTTTGGATAGGTTGGAGTTTATATTCCTTTTTATTTTCAGGATCATTGAAAATATCAATATAGTCACAAAGTGTCAACACCAACCTGATGGTGTATAAATATTTTCTAGGAAACTTTAGTTTCAAATAATTTGTGATTTGCAAATTAATGGTGTTTTACCAAAGCTTGAAGTATACTATATATATATTTAAGTGAATTGAATGTCACAAGATTCTGTAGACTGTCTTGAAGCTAGTTTCCTTCTTTCCAGTTTAAGCAACTCTTAATATTTTTTGAAGAACTGGGGAAAAAAAGGTAAATTCCATCTACTTCAGATAGAAGAGGAGATGAGTTTGTCTTTTATGTTATTTTGAAGAGTAATTCTAAATACATCACAACCAGTACACAGTTCCCTTCTTAATAAAATATGATAACACAAGCCAAGCTATAAACACCAGATTACATTCAAGATACTGAATGGAGTGATGAGTGAAAGAAGGAAAAATAGTTGGATAATTGGAAATATCAAAAATCAAGAAAATAAGTCCTGTTTGGGTGCAAAAGTTATAAGAATAACCAAAATCTTATGCTAAACCTAGAAGGAAAGCAAGTCAATTACTTTGTTAAAATGGTTTATTATTCTGTCACAATCTTTTTGGAACTTCTACGTGAAAATGTATGTTATCTGCATATCAGTGTTACTTCAACTCAAATTCCTTGTGGCATCGGTAATGGTTTCAAGTAAATGATGCAAAATATGTGGACAGAGCAGAATGTTGAGGTATCCCAGAAGTTTTATAGAATAGAGCAGTGGTGGCTAACCTTTTGGGGCTTCTGTGGCAAAAATTGTAAGTGCGCCAGCGCGACCGCACTCATATGCCAACCCCAGATGCAATATGCACCCCCATGCCCCCTGCGCATGCACGTGTAATTTGCCCCCCTCCATCCCCTTACCTGCACTGCGCCTCACAGCTGATTTTTCAGCTGGTTTGAGGCCTTTTTTGGCCTCCCAGAGACTTGGAAAAAGCCCTTGCAAGGCCTTTCAGGCCGAATTATAGGCCTTTTCTGTCACTTCTGGACGAAATGGGCCTATAATTCGGCCTGAGAAGCCTTGCAGAGGCTTTTTCCAAGCCTCTGGAAGGCCAAAAAAGGCCTCAAACCACCACCACCCCCCAAAAAAAATCAGCTGTGAGGCATGCGCAGTGAGGTAAGTTTGCCTGCAGCTCGCGTGCCAGCACAAATGGCTCTAGATTCGCTATCACGGGAATAGAGGATAAATTTAAATATCAATTTTTTGCCTTTGCCTTTTCAGAAAGGACTGAAACAAGAAGGATATAAGTGGTGAATGTTGGAAAACCACTGAGGTACAAGGAACTAGTAACTAGAACTAGATCATATTGCCTGTCTATTCCTTAATATCAGATGTCGACAAGATGAGCAAAATTAATTCTGTCCCCAAACTAAGTAGGAATCCAGATTGTCCTACCTCAAAATAATTTCTGTTATCCAAAACCACTTGGAGTGAAGTCACCAGTTCTAGTCACATAAAGACATTATGGTTCAATTTCATCAGGGACATACTGGTCTTTGCACATTCCCAGGCTGGAATCCAGTTGCCATTTTATTCCTACCTCCCTATGCATACCAACAGTCCACTGGCAAGAGCTGTTTTACCACTTTGGCTCTGCTTCCCTATGCTTGCTAAACAGTTGGTGAGAACCTGCTCATCACAGCCTTGCCTCCTTTGCTTTGAAAGTTCACTTGTTGCCTCAGCCTTGTATGCCCCAATAGAAACTGATTCGCTGAAGCATACAAATGGTAAAAAAGACAGCAGCATCTGTACTAATATTCAGATAACTGATAGTAGTGACTGTGGTTACCAACTCAGATTGTGTATGCTTTGCTAAGAGGAACTGTGGTCTTATACTGGTTACCCAAAAAAGAAACATTTGAACATTAAATATATATCTAAAATGAACATCTCATTAGGCTGAAGGCCTACAAGCCTTTCTGTAGTAAGAGATTTCTATTGAGGAAATTCTTGATCATCAGGTTTATGCTTAGAATTGTTAATTATGTTATGTGATGCATGTACAATTTAAAGTTATGGTTGTAAGAATGGTGTGTTCTATTTGGCAAAATAATAAGCCAGTCAGTAGTTACTAAGCAATTAAAACCATTTACCCAAATTTGTGTAAAATTCTTGTTGGCTTCTTTCAGTTCTTGAATTGCCATCAGAAAAAGAACTGCACAAAGTTCTTCAGATGTTGGAACCCCACATTTCATTTCTGGAAGATCTGACAAAAATGGGGGGAGCAATGCGTTCAGTCCTTACTCAGGTTTTGACCAATCAGCAGTACTATAAAAGTCTTAGTTCTGGTAAGTTGTTTTATTTTGCCTGAAGAAGCATTCACCATTAAACTTGTTTTTATGCTTTAAGATCAGGGTATCTGCTAAAAGAGAAGCAGGCTTTACTTTGCTATGAACTGCAGATTCTATTGATCTCTTGTAAGCCTTACTGAAGTCAATTTTTGCTATTTTAATGGTTGAAAAATGTTATATATATGAGTTGCTTTTAGGATTTGGTTTATGCTGCTAATATAGTTTAGATATTTTAGAAACTGGTTCTTAAAAAGTTTTGTAGGTAACCTTCTACCAATTCTTAAATAGAGAATACATTCTATATATTTATTCCCCTATAAAACTATATTGTTCTTCCTTCTGCTCAAACTAATAAATTCAGGTTTAAATGTCCATGAAGAAGGAAGTAAAAGTAGTGCTCTAGTTTCACACATTGCACTAAGCCATAGTGTTCTTTGTTTTGGCTTAAGAGTGTCAATGACCCACACATTGTGACTGTTAAAGCATGGACAATGGTGTGTAAACTAATCTATTGTAGTTTATTCAAGAAAGGATAATCAAACCATGCCTTAGTGCAATGTGAGAATGCAGCTAGCGAGTTAAGAACATGACAAGTACATATGAAGGGATGAAAATACAGAATCAACAATACCCCCCAAAGGCAATTCATTATTTATTCAGTTGAGCAGCAAGTGACAGATTGCATGAAAGCAAATTGATATTTTGGTATATATGTCAGCTAAAGGTGACAATTCAGACTATATATATTTAAAAGGGCTATTGTTAGAGTCCATCATGACAGCAGAATTTCAGTATTTTGCAAGTTTAGTCAGAATTTCCTCTTATTACTTTTTATATAATTTATATAAAGTCTTTCCTGATTATAAGAATGTTCTTTAACAGCATTCTAGGGTTGAAAAAGAAAACAGTATTCCATTCCCAAAACCAAATTAAACAATTCAATAGAATTTGCACTGGTGAAGTTATCACCAGAGCTGGCATATTGGTCTTAATTTCAAGAGCCAAGTTTATAGTCCCCATATTGGAATGGTATCATGCAGAAATGTTCAACCTTTGATAATTAATTTGAAAAGTCATAATGAAAGGATGGATGGGCTGTAGTCTGGCTTATTTTTAGTTCTGGTGTATTTACATGTCAGAGAAGTCTTGGCTCACTGTGGCTGAATGTGCTATCTAAAGAAGAATCAAATATTCTAAGTAAGCATTGCAGTCTGAATGCTGGAAAATAAAATGTTTATGAATGGAAAGCATTATTTGAAGGTATATGCACCAAGCCCATCCCATAATTTATGTAAAGTACTTATGGGCCACTTATTATAATGTCTGTTAGCCAGGTTTTTTTTTTAGCCTGTACCATCCTGTAAAGATGGATCCTTGGAGTGAATTTGTATCTTTGAAATATATTTAAGGTGGTGGAGAAAATACATGTTCAAAGAAAAGCCATGAAAAATATCTTATAGCTTTGAAAGGTTCTGGACTGACATTTGCTGAAGATAAGCTTGCAGGTGGAATGCAGGACCAAGGAGCTGGAGCTAGTGCTTCAGTAGTTCAAGGTTTGTGTAAAAAATACTTTTAATTGTAACTAGAATTCCCATCTTTGATATGTTAACATATAGAAGTTCTAAAGTGGCTTATGAAACTTTCCTGAAACGGCACAAATGTAGGGGGGAAAAGTGTGTCAGAATCCTTATTCAATTTTCAAAATTGGGCAATATCTTCATTCTTAAATACCAGTTTAAATTATGGGAAATATTAGGGCCCCTTTCCAATAAGTTTAGAAAATACAGCATTTTGGATTATAAATAGTTATTGTGTTAAGATGACATTTGTGTTCCATTATAGAGATAGTAACAAATCACGAGTATCACTTAAAGATTTAGCATTTTCTAGCTAGATTTTAATTTCAATTTCTAAAGAATTAATGTAGGTTTGTATGAAAGAAGAACTGTAGGTTTGTTTTTAAAATATTTTTCCAGTTTTGTATGAATATTTTAATTTTTAATTTCACAAGGTTTTGCAGGTTCTACACCAACTTCAGGGCAAGGTGACACTTCAGATGAGGTGAGACTTTCAGAATAAAATAAAGTGTAATCTTGTGTGACAGAAATTAAGATATCATGAGCCTCATTGTGTTTGCCTTTGCTAACAAATTTATTTAATAGGATTATTTATGCTGAAAATTCCTCCAGTAAGAAAATTGTTATTGCTACTCTTGTTGAATTAATTTTGTCAACATTAGGAAATCATATTGTAGATCATGGTTGTCAATTTTTTTTATTTGCCCTTGGCTTCATTGAATGAAGAATTGTCCTGGGCTACATATGTAATACTGTATATAATGTAGTTAATAAATAATAAACTTCCCTTATTTTTATATCTTTTATTATCTTATGGGTTCACATGGCTAGCTATCCAGAACCATGGGTTGGATACCTTTGATGTTAATAGTAATTTCTGAAAATAGGCTAGCTTAATATCATGTATATTTACTTCTGTAAAACAGGTTTTAATCAGTGTTACTGAGAAAATCATATGCAAACTTCTAAATCTTTGTGGATTATTACATTTTTCCACATTTGACATTTATATTATAAATCAGATTTATCTTAATATACGCAGTAAAGATAGGAGAGAAAAATGAATCCTGGCATAAATATGTATTCAGTTTTCTAAACCAGGAATTCTTAGAACAAGAAAAAAACCTTTAAGAAGAGATTGGACAACTATTTGTTTGATATGCTAAAGGATTTTCTGCTTGAATAGGAAATTGGATTAGAAGGTTGCTTCCAACTCTGTTATTCTGAATAATTACTGGATTGGCTTCTTTCTGATTTTATCAATCAATCAGTCAATCTGTGTAGTACAGAAATAAAAGGGAAAACATGGGGAAAGGGATTGCTGAAGTGTCAGTCTCTCTGTAGTTGTGGCCTGGAACTAGCCTTCTGGCTAAGGATCAAGAAAGATTAAGCTGATGTAGTTTCTACATATGGAAGCAAACAGTGCTGTATATTGCAACCATCTAGTGAGATCACCGTCTTATTTTATGTTTACATGAATGGTTAAGGACTTTTTAAACATACATAAGCAGAGTTAGTACAATAAGCTATATCCAGCATTAAAAATAAAACTATGAAGGAAAAAGAAAAAAATAGCATCTTAAATATCAATTTTATAATTTTATAAAATATTTTTCTACTATATGTTCTTATTTAAATGTCCTAAGTCTCCATACAACATCGTATACAAAGAAATAAGTGAAGTAAGAGTATACAACCTGAGGGCTAGGAGTTGCATACAAAACTCTGAATGGATGTATCCCCCAGGATTAGTTTGGAAATTGCCACAGAATTATAATTTTTAATATGACACAGGAGAAAAAAAAGTTCCTAAGGAATAATCTTATTAATTACAGTTAATTTATATTTGGCTATTTTTGTCCTAGTAATACCTATCTTTTGAAAATGGCCTCTGTCATTTGGTCTGAAGGCTATATATAGGCCCCAAATATATAGTAAGAGAATTTAGAGGAATATTTGCTACAGGGATCTTTTCAGGCGGAGCTGGACAGAATTTCTAGGGCATCCAAGAGTATTGTTTGTGGTGTTGGAAAAAATATTTTCTTAAGGTTTCCCAAGTAGGTAAAAAAGGAATACAGGAAATGAATGTTTTAACACCAATATACTTGGGTTATTTAATTTTCAACTATAGCTACCTAAATTCTTTATAAATCAATGTTTGTATGATAAACAGAGAACTTTAAAATCCATATTTGTAGGGATTTTGTATATAAATGCAAATCCATACAGATAAGATTTAAAATCTTTAAAAATCAATTCTGTCTGATTTTTCTATTCAGATGAAATTAACGGTAGTGTATTTACTTCCAGGAAAATAATAAATCTGATTCCTTTGTTTTCTTACGATATTGGTATATTTCAAGTGTTTTTGCTTCTATTTTTATATATCAGTAATATGTGTATGTGTATCTATATCTATATCTATGGTATTCAGCTTTGTTCGGGTATTTTCCTATAATGACGTGGGAAAATACCCGAACAAAGCTGAATACCATACATGTAAGTACCCGCGAAAACTTAAGAAAACAAACATCTATATCTATATATCTATATTTGTATCTATATATATCCCGTGGATGGGGCTTTACTTGTTCACAGGGCCCGGTTTCTGGCATGCTGTGACCCGATGCTGGTCCACAGCCTGGGGGATGGGTGGTTTGGTGATCCCTGTAGTATATCATATGAGAAAATTGGGGAGGGGGTGGTTTCATACAGTTACTAAAAACTTTACCTTTCTAAAGTTAACGATTCTGCCTTTGATATTTATTTATGTATTGAATTTGTTTATGTCTGTAGGTTTCTCTGAGTAATTAGATTTCCCTCTCATGAAGGGAAGATAAATACTTAATTGGATTTTAATTCTGAAGAATGCCATTATAGTATTTCAACAGGTTGCTGTTATATACAATGGATATAAAATGTCTAGGCATCTCGTTTAAAATGCCAAGTTCTTGAGATGTAAAAAAAATATCAAACCAAGATAAATCATAACCTGGCATTTTAACAGGAGTGTGTAGACTTTTAATATTCACTGTACAATCCAGTTTGTTGATGGAAGAAATGTCTTGCGCTATATAATAATTAGATATTGGAAAATGCTTCAGATATGAGAAAATACTTCAGATTCTTCTAATAGCACTTAACCTTTGAATGATTTCCAGTCATTTTCTAATAATTTGGTCTTTTGCAAGTGTTTTAACTGAGTGTATTATAATCAAAAAGAATTTGCTTCTAAACAAATATGCTTATGATTTAAGTAATTCTTATATAGTACCCCTCACATTATTTTTCCATTTAATTGGCAAATTCCTCATTGATTATGTTTTCCAATCTTAGCTTAGAGTTTTAGTAGTTCTTTAAAGACAGTTTATGTGGGATAAGATCCCCATGTGATATAACATTAACAGAAGGACATGTAAACAGGACATTTAAAAGAGACTATAAGAAGTTTTTGATGAAGAATATATTTTTATAACCTGTTTCCAATAAATAACATACTAATACTTAGCTTGAAATACTGGAAATATTTCTGAATAACATATGGCAGTAAAGTAATGTTCCTAGAGGGAGTCTATTCTCATATCACACCCCAGAACAGTATAATAGATCTGATGCTAGATTTGTCTATTGATCCATTTTCAATCTCTTTTATCTTAGGAAGACCAGGATGGTAACCAAGGTGTGGGAAAGTGCAAGAGAGTGAAACTAAGTACCACCACCAAAGGTAGATATAGTAAATTGTTCGTTGGATACTTTATAGTTTATAACCATGTTTTACTCAACTGGTAGTTTTGAGTTTCCATGGATGAAGGTGAATGTCAAGTTCTGTAATATGTATAATATAGAAGCACAAGTAAGCATGTGTGGGTGTGGGTGTGGGTGTGGGTGGGTGCATGTGTTCATGTATGTATGTATGTGTGGATAGACAGACAGACAGTTCAGCCTTGGTTCAAGACCTGAGCTTCACGCAATGGGGTGAGCTCCCATTACTTGCGGCAACTCCTGCCTACCGAGCAGCTTGAAAGCATGCAAATGAGGGTAGATAAATAGGTACCACTTTGGTGGAAAATAACATGAGAAAGGCGGGGCTATATGAATCACAAGTTGGAATTAAGATTGCTGGGAGAAATATAAACAACCTCAGATATACAGAGGATACCACTCTAATGGCAGAAAGTGAAGAGGAACTATAAGAGCCTCTTGATGCGGATGGAGGAAGAGAGTGCGAAAGTTGGCTCGAAACTCAACGTTAAGAAAACTAAGATTATGGCATCTGGCCCTCTCAATTCCTGGCAAATAGATGGGAAAGAAATGGAGGTAGTGATAGATTTTGTTTTCTTGGACTCCAAGATCACCGCAGATGGGACTACAGGCAAGAAATTAAAAGATGCTTGCTCCTGGGGAGGAAAGCTATGGCAATTCTAGACAGTGTACTAAAAAGCAGAGACAAAATAAAAGTGCCAACAAAAGTGCATATAGTCAAGGCTATAGTTTTCCCAGTTGCAATGTATGGCTATGGAAGTTGGACCATAAGAAAGGCTGAGTGCTAAAGAATCGAGCCCTTTGAACTATGATGTTGGAAAAGACTCCTGCGAGTCCCTTTGACTGCAAGGCAATCAAACCAGTCAGTCCTAGAGGAGATCAACCCTGACTGCTATTTAGAAGGCCAGATCCTGAAGATGAGACTCAAATATTTTGGCCACCTAATGAGAAGGAAAGACTCACTGCAGAAGAGCTGAATGCTGGAAACGATTGAGGGCAATAGAAGAAGGGGATGACAGAGAATGAGGTGGCTGGATGGAGTCACTGAAGCAGTAGGCATGAGCTTAAATGGACTCCAGGGGATGGTAGAGGACACGAAGGCCTGGAGGAACGTTGTCCATGGGCTTGTGATGGGTCAGACACGACTTTGCGACTAACAACAACAATAGCATTCCATGTGCCTTTGGTATATTAGACATGCTGGCACATGACCAAGGAAATTGTTTTTGGACAATACTGGCTCCCTTGGCCAAGGAACAGAGGTGAGCATCATTCATGACTGACAAGGAAACATTTACCTTTATTTATACACCCACCAACACCCACACTTTTGCTTCTATAGTATTTTTCATATGAGCAATAATAGAGTGACTACAAGACTTGGTCTTCCTTACTTAAGTATGGTTCCATGCATTTTGGAATTCCAAGAGGAAAAATGGCTTAGGGCGTAGTTGGATAAGCAGCTGCCCATTAGCTGTATATAACTTTTCTGCCCTATTGTGTGCCCTCCATGACATCACTACAGTTCCATCACTTTAAAAAAAACAACCACCCTTTTTTTCCTTCCTCCAAGTGTTAAATCAGAGAACTGACTTTAAAGCCCCCATATCTGTGGAAGAGGAAACTATTAAAAAGGCCTTTTTGCCCTCTCACTGTCTGCAGTCTGAAAAGAGTATTAAACTGCAGCCATCATTGGAAGAAAGTTGTCTGTTGCTAGATTGACTTAACAATTCTCTATTCCATCCCTCCCAGACTCCTGCAGTCAGTTGTCACCAAGCTATTGCAAGAAATCATAGATCTATCTATGCTTTTATGATGCAGAGATCATTCAGAACAAGAAATCTTCAACCTGAGGCTATATGTGCCTATCAGCATTCTTTCCCCTGCTGTTAAAATTTACAAATTATCTATTTGCAGTGATGCTGTTTGCTACTTATTTCTTGATAAAACAGAAATTCTATATCACTGCGGAAGGAAAAGTCAATAAAAGAGATAGTTTCCCTTTGCCCAGTACAGTGGAACCTTGGGTCGCAACTGTAATCTGTTCTAGGACTTCAGTCGCAACCTGATTGGTCATGACTGGAAGCACAAGCACAGAGAAAAAAAAAAAGGTGTCTAAGGGGAAATCAGGGAAAATCAGCAGGGAAAATCACCACGGCGATTTTTGGGTTTGCTTGGTCGCCACCCAAAGATCTGTTTGCGACCAGGAGCAAAACAGAAGCAAAAATTCAGGTCGTTCGCAACCCAAGGTTCCACTGTACATGTTATTGTATTGCCACCACACCAGTTAATACTGCCAGAGGTCCTTTTTCCCCCAAAGAAATATCTTCCAGCTAAGAAAACTCTTTCAATCTAGACCTTTCTCTTCCATTCTGTCAATGAGCAGAAACTTCTGGGGGGAACAAAATATCAAGATAGTCCCTCATGACTGTAATTGAAATTTTGCTTCTTGTACATTGTGAGTGTTGAAATTTGTGCAAGAGCAGCGAGGCTTCAGTTATGAAGTTCCAACTGCCAGTTTGACTTTTTTTGACAACCCTCTTCCCCTTTACAGACACAGCTAAGTGGTAAGTATTCAGTGACTGAGTAGAGTCTGGAGCATTGGCAGGCATATGTAGTCTTCTAAAATATGGCCTTTTCAAGAGATCTTGGTTTCTGTCTCAGAAATATCCTGATAAGTTTTGTAATCTGTTCTCCATGAACCTTTTCATCGAACTTTTATTCTCATTTTTCTACAGATCAATCCATCATGGATGTTTTGAACCATAAGTGTTTTCTAGAAGAATTATTATTTTGGACAATAAAATATGAATTTCCTCAGAAAATGGTAACTTTCTTGCTCAACATGCTTCCAGATCAAGATTATAAGGTATTAGAGTACTTCTTCTTTCTTTCGTCCTGACAATTCTTACAATTATTCGTGAAATCATTTGTAGTAGTCTAAGGCTGTTGTTAGAGGAAAAAGTCCAACAATTTAACACAATATTCAGGATACTAAGAGAAAGTAGCACAGAAAATAATATGAATTAAACTGCAGTAATTTAAAATATCAAGCTAGGTGTTGGAAGGAGTCAAAAGTGTTTTGAACAATGTTATGAGTTGGCTGGAAGTGAAAATGTAATATCTCACTGGTAGGTCTCTATTTCCAGGGGTACCCATTAAAGATAATTATGATTAGTTACTATCAGTGAACCTACTGATTTATTCAACCAGTTCTACCAAAAACATAATCTTTCAGGCCAGCTCTTGGAAGAATTAAAAATGGTGTCATTCTCCCTGTAACCAGAAATATAGAACTTAACAGAGGACTAGCTGTGCAACCAAATACTGTTGTACATCAGGAAGATTTCAAATTAAGCAAATTAACCCAAATGTTTGGATGTAAAAATGAGTTTATTGGAAAAGATGGAATATAGGAAACGTAATGAAAGATAGTATCATACAGAATGTGGATAAAATCAGTACACTCAGCCTAATTTAACCAGCTACACTATGCATCTCTTTGAGTAGAACTGTTTGGGTTCAGAACTTGTTTAAAATTTGTTGTAGATAAGATGATCTAAGAGAAATCACAATCCAACCAATCCTGGTTGGATGAATTGGGCAAGGTCCTCTTTGCGTCTCTTATTTCTTCTTCTAGACCACTAGTCTGCTTGTTTTATTAAATGTGAACTATAAATCAAAGTCCTCCTCTTTTGGAAGTCTGATTTTTGCTTTGCCCAGTAAAGCCAACTGCTCCATTTCTGACATCATAAAAAAACCTTGTCATTGAATGATAAAGGCACTGATGAGTTTTTTTACTAGTTATGCCATATGTGAGAGATCTTGGGGAAACAAGATAAGAATATTGTTTAATCAGACATGGTGCAAGTTCTTTATAATGCATTAAGCTATGGAAAGATTTAATGATTTACATTTCTGTGCTTGACTTTCATATAATTAACAGGAAAATATCTCTAATACTCTAAATTCTAGAATAATTATATTGCTTGGGAATTCATGCACATACACATACAAAATTATATGGACTTTGTCATTTTTTTTAGTATTTAAAATTTAAAGCTGTACTCACAATTGAAATAATTGTGAAGGAAATTGCTGTATAGAAGTATCTTCATATGAGACTTACTCAACAATTTAACCATATTTATGTATATTTTAATTGATTATAAGATAATGAACTACTGTTGGCTCTTAGCAATAATACGGAGAGGCGTTTATTCTGTTCTTCTAAAAAATAAAGTTTATTACTCTGAGTAATTCTGAATAAGCTAGTTTAAGGCATCAGGCTAGAATCCTTGGTGTTCTAGTCCTACCTCAGGCACAAAGTCAACTCGGTGGCCTTGGGCCAGTCACTTTCTCTCAGCCCTAGGAAAGAGGGAATGTTATTCTGAAAACCTTGTCAAAAAAGCCTACAGTTTAGTCCAGGTAATTGCTAGGAGTCAACATTAACTTTAAAATTAAAGGCAAAACAAAAAACAAAGGAGAAATAAACAGACAAATCCTGAACAAAACTGCTAGGCAGCATTCTGCAAATATAAGTGCAGAGGAGGAAGAGGTTTTTCTGCCTTGCAGGAAGGCTTATATTTCTGTAAATAATTAGAATTGCAATTTGGAAATGTGAGATTTGCAGGTCACTAGAAGAGCTTTCACTGCGAACTTTTGATTAGTTTAGGCAGATATGCAGTTAAGAGCCTTTCTGGGCAAAGAATGTTGTTACAGTTATCCACTAATCTAACTAGATTACTGCAGTGGAATTGCTCTTCAAAATGGTCCTAAAACTGAAGAAATTGAATTTGGAAAGAGGCTGGGTATTTCAGCAAGACAGCGATCTAAAACGTTCCTTCAAATTAACCGTGAAGGTCTTCCAGGAAAGAGAAGCAAAGGTTTTGGAAAAAGCCTTATAGACCCCAGACTTGGAGCTTATTGAAAATTTATGTGGAGATCTCAAATACACAATGCATGTAGAGAGACCTAAGAATATTTTTGTGTGGAAGAGTTCTACAAAAAAGGCTTGGTGGGAGGATAAAATCTAAATGCAACTATAGGCTCTTAGCTGGCTATAGGAAACATTTGGAAACAATTATTTCTGCCAAAGGAACTGCTACAAAATGCATATCAAAAATGTTTCCAAATTAATGCTTGTCATATTAGTTGTTATTTTCAACTTGTAATGAACTGCATGTAAATAGTGAGCATACACTGAATTTTGTAGAAATATGTTGTGTTTAATCTTGTACTTTATACATTAAAGTTTCCCCAAAGAAGTCACAATCAAAGGGTCAATATGACTAAGGAGTTCATTATTATTACTACTACTACTTTTCATAATCGTGTCAATTAAATTAGTATTTATTTAATTATTTTCATATAATAAGTATAGGCAGGGGATCAGTGAACAGCCAGAAACTTCTTGAAGGGGTCAGTGAGGTGAAGAGTTTGAGACTGTATATACTGAAGTTGTGTCAGCTGTGTTTAGCTAAAAATTATCTGCAACATATATATAGAAACACTATTTAAAGTATTTTTTAATTTTATATTATCTACACTAATACAGTGGACTACTTGGCTCCCAATTTTGATCAGTGGTATTTTTTCACTTGTCCTTTACTTTTTAACAATTAGATTTGACATATTTTTTAATTTTATTTTTACTCATTACATTTATATGCTGCTCATCCCGCTATCAAGCAATATATTGTTTTCCCTGACCACATGACCATGAGAGAATTAGATATCATAGCTTCCTTTCTACGAATAGGGTGGCCTTTGAGGTGAAGTTGGCCCTCTTTTTAAGGACCTTTAGAAAAGCTTGTCAGACCTGACTTTTTGAAGGTAGGAATTGAAGGATAGAATGAATTATAATGTGGTCTTCACTGAGAAATTGTGCTATGGATATTATATTTTGAGTTGTTATTGTTTTTATTATTGAAGTTTCATTTTTATTAACCTCTAAAAATCATCCAGATTGGTGTAAAATAATTGAAATAATATATACAGTACATAAATACTATGACATATATGAAAAGAGCAAATTGTAACACTAATATTTGTTTTATACATTACAGATTGCTTTTACTAAAACATTTGTGCAGCATTATGCTTTTATTATGAAAACACTGAAAAAAAGCCATGAATCTGATACCATGTCTAACAGAATTGTACACATTAGCGTCCAGCTATTCAGCAATGAGGAATTAGCACGTCAAGTGACAGAAGAATGCCAACTGCTTGATATTATGGTTACTGTCCTTCTATATATGATGGAGAGTTGCCTTATTAAAAGTGAGTTACAAGGTGAGTGTATATCTTGCTTTATTATGATTTTTCTCCGAAGGTTGTTGAAAATTGTCGGGTTTTACTTGTAGTAAGTCCATGCTGGGTGGAATTAAGGAAATTGAAATCCACCATTTGTTAAGGTCATCATGTTGCGTTCAGGTTATTTAAGAGACTTGGATACTGTTCTGTTATAATGTTTATACTTTCAATCAAATGGGTTCTGCCCCATGTGAAATGATCCAACTTCTCTAGCTAAATCTTTTAAGCAGGTAAAAAGGATTCTTTTATAGTCCAGTGCACAAATAAATGGAGGCACAGCTTATTATCCCATTTCCTTTGTAAATCTTAAGCACCTGGTAGCTCTGGTTTCTATGAATAGGTTTCCAAAATAGCCTGGCAGTAGCTTTACATCATCAAATTACGAAGATTTCCTTTGATGGGAAGGGATTTTCTTCTGTAGGAAGTCTGATATGAGCTGCCTAGGATTAAAAAAGATTATGGCTAAGTGTGGCTGTAATCAAACCTCATTCTTTTTCATCATATTCCACATATCGGTAGCCCGTGCTTTTTCACCCCTGATGAAATTGCAGTTATCAATAGCAACTTCTGTCTCAGCATTGTCCACTTCACATTGTTTCAGATAGGAAAGGCCTGTGGACTTTTTCAGATTCAGCTGTCTACCTCTAACTATCACCAATCCTAATATAGCTTTTGGGACCATCTCAAACATTCCTCTGATTGCTAGTATTGATCGGAGATGATGTCTGAATATTGGCCATCATTGAGCAAGGATAAGTCAAATTTTGCCAAGAACCCCTATGGACTACTGTGGTTATTCCCTCTTCTCCCATTTGAAGTAATTTTGGAAAAAATGCTATTAAACCCATCCCATTCATTGATTGGTTCCAAGAGAATTTACTATTCTATCAATACTGAGATAAGATAACAGCAGGTTTTCTATCTCCCTATGTATCCTTAATATGTGGCCTTTTATCTAACCATTACGTCTTTAACACATTGTTAACATTTGCTTTTACTTTTAGATGAGGAGAACAGTTTACATGTAGTTGTGAACTGTGGAGAAGCACTCTTAAAAAACAATACTTACTGGCCACTTGTCAGTGACTTTATTAATATCCTTTCGCATCAAAGTGTGGCTAAGAAATTTTTGGAAGATCACAGGCTACTGGTAACATGGATGAACTTTGTGTCATTTTTTCAAGGTATGTGATGCTTTCATTGATTATACATGTTATTTGTGAATAGAGAAACAGTTTGACAAAACATTTTAAAACATATGGAGGGGTTTATAATGATTGTTTTTCAAAAGCTGTTACAAATATTGAAATTAATTGAAATTAATTAATGAAGTTAATTGGCTACTACAATTACAACAGTATTCCAACTGTTGTAACATCAGTTTGCACTGAACATAGGCTGTAAAGGGATTAAGCTTCTAATTTTTTTTCTGTTTGGCCATTTTCCTTGCTTTTAATGTTTATCCCACACATGTTTGACAACTAACTTTGTTGTTTAATGCATCCCTGAAACAGTTTTTGTAAATAGTTAGCAGCAGATTTATTGAATAGTGTGAAAAATGCATTATTATTTATAGCTAAAATGTACAATGTTGTCTCAATCTTTTAAGGCATGAATTTAAATAAAAGAGAACTTAATGAACATGTTGAGTTTGAATCCCAGACGTACTACGCCGCTTTTGCTGCTGAACTTGAGGCCTGTGCTCAACCAATGTGGGGCTTACTGTCACACTGCAAAATCAGGGTAAGTTGAGCTATATTGTTTTCTCTCTCTTGTGGATCTTTATGATTGTATATTTTAAAAAGGAGTATGCAGTTGTGTCAAATCAAACAACTACTGTGTCTTGTGATCTGTTGGACCAACACAATATTTTATGCCAGTTGGCCTGAATATCTGGTCAGAAAGAGCCATTCAGCCTAAGACACAACTATAAGAAATTCATGCCAAGAAAGAAGAGAATATAATTTATGGGAATATTGGCTGATTCCCAACATGTGTGAGGAACAAGTCTGTAGTTTACCTGGAAAATGCATAACTGTTTCTTATTTTTCCTGAAATCTGTAATACTTCCTTGCTTTCTTTTTTGATTCCAATATTGACGTTGGGCTTTCATTTAAATACAGATCCTCTTTCTGTTCGTGGAAGGAATTGAGAGAAGCAGAGAGGGTTCCCTCCCCCACCATTTTTTATGTGAAGCCCCTCTCCCTGTCTGTAGTAGTGTACAGAAGGTCCTTTTGGGGGCAATCTTTCCAGCTATTGTTAGGTGAGAAGTAATGGCAAAAAAAATCACCTCTCTGTTTAATCTTCCCATGAATGGAGCTTTGTAAATCCAAGGCACTTTAGAGGGAACAAAAAAGAAAGATGGAAGCTGCATCCCTCCTATTTACCTTACCTTTGAAGTGCTACAAGCCTTTGTTTTTTTCAGTCTGTGCAACATTTGTAATTCACTTCAGGAGACGGAAGAGTACACACGAAATGTTGTTAGATACTGCCTAGAAGCACTTCAGGATTGGTTTGATGCAATCAACTTTGTAGATGAGGTGGGTATATCCTATATATTTAATTTGATATTTGAATGTTGTATCATACCATATAATATTACCATATAATTTTAGAATTAAATATACTGATTTTTTTTTAGCCTACATTTCTTGGTTACCAGTTCATATTTGATATTTCTTCTGCACAATGAAGAATTTTCTGCCGTCACAAATATGTGAAAGTATAAATTCATTGGGATATGCTGAAATTTAGATTTTTTTATCCTAAATATTTAATTAAAAACATAAGACAGTATTTCAGTAAATAAGGAATATGCTTGTAATTAGAATTGGTGGGCTGGTCTATGCAGGGAGCATTATACATTGCAGGCCATGGATCCTTTTAGAAGATGCTGTGACTTGTATGGCATGATTTGTAAAGGATCTTTGTTAATGAAATGACAAATACACTTGCAAAGCTTTTTTTAAAAAAAAATCTTACATGGCATTTCTCCTTGTTCATTATCAGATTTTTCTTTCATATGCATTTTTATGTTACTGATTACTTCAAAGACACATTTATTTTATGAATTGAATGTTTCAGAAAATATTGATAAGTGGGGACTTAGTGACCTTGATTTTTAGGGCAAAATTGAGTTCTGACTATGAATGTTTCCTGAAGTCCAGAAAACTACTGTCATAATCCCCAAGTTGAATTTCTTATTAATAGTGTAATGTCCTTTTTTTGCAGCCTACTCCAAATCAGGTTACGTTTCACCTCCCATTGCATCGCTACTATGCTATGTTTTTGAGTAAGGTAGGTAAATCGTTTTTGCAGAGTAAAATTGGGCATTCTACAAGTAGATTTGTGGTTTACCTCAGTATATAATATGCAATTACTTTATTTATAGGCTGTTAAATGTCAAGAGGTAGATTTAGATTCACTTCTTCCAGACCAAGAGATGTTGATGAAACTAATGGTTCATCCACTTCAAATTCAGGTAAATCTTTTCTTATCTCAGCATACTATTATGTAAACTTTGAGAGGTGTCAAATAGTGATCACTGATGAAATTTCATAGACAGAGTATTCAATTTGCCTTGGATTTACTGGAAGCAATTGATTTATATGAATGAAGGCAGATATATGTGTCCCAGGATAATGTTGCAGGATCCAATCTGGATTGGTCACTGGGACCAGAGTTTTAGTCTTCCAAGCTTTCAGACTCATGCTGGAGCCCATCCTCAGGGAATTTCTCTGTAGCAGAGTGTGAGCTGTTCTGTGTATGGTATTCTGTGTGCAGTACAACAGGCACTATAAATACCACACACAGAACAGCTCACACTTTGCTAGAGATAAGTTCCCTGAAGATGGGCTCCAGCACGAGCCCCAAAGCTTGGAAGACTAAATTGTTTATTCTAAATTGCAATTGTTTTATAGCTGGATGTATGACTCTAGTGTCCAACTTGAATGTATTTATCAAACTTATGTCAAAGCATTTTATGTTGTTATCTTTCAATTTATGTTTATGAGAGGAGCACAATAAAGAAAGACAAATTGCTAGATAATGCAAGTTTACAAAGAACAAAAGCAAGACAAAATTTTCAAAGGAAATTAAATACAAGTAAAATAGGCAAGGTACTATCAAGGACTACTTTGTTTTATTGAATATTTAAATTTATTCTAGGAGCTGAAGATGCACTAAAGCATACAAAGAAACTTAGATATGTTGCTACTTTCTTGAGATAGCATACATACAATTTGTGGTCCTAAAAAGAACAAATATTTTGATAGGTTCCAATCTTGCTGGAGATCTGCTGCAAAAACTGTATAACTCAATATAAGAACGTATTTTCAGGAAATAAAAATAACACAGATAGTCAATAGATCACATGTTTATCTACGATTATAAAATATAATAATGTGGAAATTGTTTTCCTTTTATTCCACATTTGGTAGGCAAGCCTTTCTGAAATTCATAGTAATATGTGGGTAAGGAACGGCCTGCAGATTAAAGGACAAGCCATGACATATGTGCAGTCTCACTTCTGTAATTCTATGATTGATCCTGACATTTATCTGTTACAGGTAGGTCAACGCTGTCTTTGACTCCATCACTTAGTGTTAGTACATAATTGAATATGATAACTAACGTGTATATGTGCTTCTTTGAAGGTTTGTGCTTCTCGACTTGACCCCGATTATTTTATTTCCTCAGTTTTTGAAAGGTAATGTGCTATTATTTTATATAAAAATCATCTATAGATAATCCTCTACTTACAACAGTTTGTTTAGTTACCGTTCAAAGTTACAATGGCACAGAAAAAAGTGACTTATGACCGTTTTTCACACTTATGACCATTGCAGCCTCCCTGTGGTCACATGATCAAAATTTGGATGCTTGGCAACGGACTCATAGTTATGACGGTTGCAATGTCCCGGGGTCACGTGAACAGCTTTTGCGACCTTCTGACAAGCAAATCAATGGGGAAGCCAGATTCATTTAATAATTTTGCTACTAACTGCAATGATTCACTTAACAACTGTGGTTAGAAAGGGATCTATTGTGGTCATAAGTTGAGAACTACCCGTATTTATTCTGCTTGTATACCAACAAACAGAAAAGGCCAATTTACAATAATCATACATCCAACTAATATGTCCACCGTATACATTCTTAAAACTGTAAACTATTTAGATGTGAGAGAAACTATCTAGGCAAATTAGAAACATTGAAAATAGAACTCTTCCTAAACCTTTGCAACTATATTAAAGCATCAAGTTGGCTGCTGAGTTGCAGTGGATAAAGATTCCCACCACTGTGAGTGTTAGCATTGCATGATTCATGATTGGAAAAAAATGTTCTTCTTTTTCTTCTTCGAATCACTTATCTCTCGCAGAATTCTAAAGTTCCATGAAACTCCAGTGGAGAAATGCTGATTTACAGAGATAATTTCTCACGAAGCCTTTCAAAAGAAAATAATTCATCTAGAGGCCTATTTAGAAAGGATATTTCTATAATACTGAAAATAATTGTAAAGATCTGGAAAGCTATTTTTCAATTGAAAAACAAAACAAATGTAGCATCTCTGTCAGCCTTCCCAGATAGACTATTTGGAAACATGACCCAATGAGCTAATTCTACTTTACTCTCAGGCTACCTTAATAGAATCTTGCAAGTCTGAAAGTACAAATCTCTCACTATCTATTTTTATAGTCTCGTAAGTTAGGGAGGAGTTTCTTTATCAGCCTGTTATAGAGCTGTACCCACCCTCTGATTGTTCTCTAGGCAACATGTCCCCCGTCCCCGTCCCGGTCATTCTCACATACCATCACATCTCATACACCTGTACATCTGCTGGGATTGATTACATTCTTTTTCAGCCTTTTTACAGGCTTTTTTTTACATCCCTGTACTTAGCTCCTACTAATTCTCAAACTTACGTCATCAGAAATCAGCTCATTCAGTTCTTTTTTTTTTTTTTTTTTTGCAGCATACAGGAATTTATTTACCAGATTCATTCTGGGGGTAGTACAAAAATAAATGTATCCAGGGGTTTCCATTTTGTGGAACTTTCCACAGTCAAAACAACAACCAATGCCATTCTCAAGAAGAAACTTCTTAAGTTAGAAACTCTTGTCACTTCATAATCTATGGCTGTAACCTTGTCATAAAAATTCCTCAAAAATCCCCCTCACTAGAGTGTTGCAGGGCTGCAACCATTTAACACTCAACTAAGCACTGCATGTTGAATCTTCATGACTCTAAAGGATCTTCTGGAGGTCAATCTTTGCCACTGATTCTTTCTCCCAAGTAGACTTGTAAACAACCTAGTGGAGTTGGCTACATTCCTGTATAGGTTCTATATAGAGGTACTCCTCAGTTACTGACCACAATTGGAATGGGCAACTTTGTCACTAAGTGACTAAGATGGAAAATCACATGACCACGATGGATTTATATCACTTCCCATTTGGTCGCTACATAAACTACCACGTTAAATGTTACCACAATTTGCAATTTTATTTCCACATTCTCCATTAACTCTGCTTTCACAAGCCAATTAGGAACCGTGTCAATGGCAGTTACGTGCATCGGTTGTGAAATACCTAATGATGATCACATAACCAGAATGGTTAGGCAGTCATAAATGCAAAGATTGGTCAAAATATTTTCACACTGTAGTAACTTTGAACAGTCACTAAACAACATCAAATAGTACACTGGTCAGAAGGTGTCTCTTAGTTTGGTAGAAAGCACGTATCCCAAATGCACATGTTATTTTGACCCATAATTTTCTTTAGCAATATAGCCAACTTTTTCTAGGCTGGATTTTTTTTTCTTGCTCAGGTTATCTTTATAGAGTTTCCTCCCAAATTTCATCCTCTTAGCAATGTCAAAAAGTTAAAGAGAGAAAATCAGCAAGAGTTTAGTTACGTGATTTTCTTGGCTTCATAGATGTTAGGAATATTTAGCCCATACTTGCTCTCTTGTGAGTTCCATTTGCTGTAGAGTACAATGAGGAAAAATACAAGATAGGTTCAAGAAGCTTTAGAAATAGATAGGATGCTGATATGAAAGCTTGCAAATTAAGCTAATAGTGTTGTTTGGCTAATTCTACAGCTTCACAATCCTCTCAAGTTAGCAATAGATTTTGGGGTTGCATGAATTCAAAGGTTTCTTCAAACCTGTACACAATTATGTTTCTGAATTTGTCTTTGTTTTTTTTTAATCCCTATAGGTTCAAAGTGGTCGATCTCTTAACAATGGCTTCCCAACATCAGAACACAGTGCTAGATTCGGAGCATGAGAGGTCAATGTTAGAAGGCGCTTTAACCTTTCTTGTCATTCTTTTAAGTCTACGTTTACATTTAGGTGAACTTGGAGTCTTTTCTTCTATGCTTTAGTTTTAGCAGCTTATTTATGCAGGTGTGCGTAACACAGACCTTAATGAATTTTAAATTATCGGGGTGGGGCAGATAAAACAGGTACAAACTATTTGGTAACAATTTATTTTCTTATTTCTTGCAACCTGGTTAAATACGTGTTCATATTTGTTGTTTACAAGCAACTGCTATATTAAAGGCTTAGTTCAGGAAGCCAACAAATAATTCTTAATTTGAGTGCCACATTGGCAGAAGTTCTGTTCTGTTATATTTCATGGAGCTTGTTCCCAGGTAAATATGTGTAGCATTATTGTTTTGATCCTTAATTTTTTATTATCCGTTCTAGTTAAAGACTTACAAAACTGGAAAATTGTAGAAAGCTGCTTTATAGTAACTAGGGATCCCAATGGGAAAAGGCCACAGTGGAGGTGGTTGATGGATTAACAATAGAACCCACCTCCCCACAACCTGGCCCTGCCCTCCCCATCTTTAATTGGATCGTAGCATTTTGATTGTTTTAATTTATGTTTTTAGTATATTTATATTTAACTTTCATGATTGTAAACCACCCAGAGTTTCCTTGTGGTAAGATGGGCAGTCAGTATTTTTTTTATATAAATAAACACTAGATCAAATCAGTTGTTTCATTTAGTTCAATATTTTCAACTGTCTCTGTTAGGGATAAAGATAGAAATATTTCTTTGCTTGGACATCCTGGGAAAATAATCTGGTTCTCCTTATTTAGTTTGTTACTGATTGAGAACTTTGAAGTCTCCAGGATGCCTGCAACAAGAGCCATTTTTTTTTCCACCTCCGAAAGAGAAGATGTTAGTTTATTTTACAGCTAGGTAGATGAATACTCTAGTTAACCCCTGCCATCCACAACAGAATTAGCCAGATCCAACATTTTTTTTTTCTGGTTTGGCAATGGGGGAGGGGTCTTTGCTCTGCTCTCCAAACTTTAGCTAGATTTTAGGGCTAAAGTTAGCGTTAGGTTTATTCTGTTCTATCCAAACTACAAACTACTAAAAAAAGAAGAAGAAGCATTAGCTTTTCTTGTCCTACTTATTTCCACGGAAGAGTGAAATCTAGCATCAGTTAGAAAAATAATCAGTAATGGCAAAATGGTTAGCATTTGCTCTTTATTTGAGCTTTTTATTTTTCCATGTCTTTATTTTGGAAACAGTTCATTTCTGATGACTTAACAACATTCAAGCTTGTGTTGGAGCAAATGATCAGATGAATTTGCATCAGACTGTATTCTTATATTGTATATGCATTGTATTCATAAAAGCTCTTTTGAAGTATTCTGACTCATGCGGGGATTTATTGTTAATAGGTAAAAGTTAATTGTTTGGAGAGCTCAATCAAATCTTTATTATGATCATGGACCAACATAATGAGAGTGGGATAGAACTATTTTCAAAAATTGAAATATATGTAAACAAAAAATTAACACTGGAATGTTAGCATCCGATTGAGGAGAATGTTAATTTACTATGCATTTTATATATGTGTTATCCAGAAATAAGCCTAAATGGACTCAGTGGGACCCAATGTCTAATTAAGATATCTTACATAGCTTGTAAGAGACGGGGCTTGTAAGGCACATGTGTTATACTTGGATGTCTTCAATACACTTTAGGCCATTTAAACAGGTTTATCATTTAGTTGGAAAGTTGTATAGTAAACATAAATCTTTTATTTCTTAGATTTTGAGTATATTAATTTCCCTATCAATTTTTTTCTAGGGATGACAGATGATGAGATTTTAAGAGCCGAAATGGTAGCTCAGCTCTGCATGAATGACAGAACTCATAGTTCTCTACTGGACCTTATATCCTTGTGAAATTATTTAATTTATGATTTCAGGCATTCTGTTGCATTTTCCTTTCATGTGTTTTACAAATAAAACTATTTTGAACTTGTGTTGCCCCATATCAGGTTAATCGTTATTTGTGGCTAAGCTTTACATATAAAAATCACAACAACCTTGGAATAAAGTTTAAACTTTTGTTGTATTGGCAAAATGCTATCAGTAAGCCAAGTCTCTCTAGTTTTGATGTAAGAAATCTATCACACTTTATCCTGACTTCTTCTACAATTTGTTTCTAAAGAAGTGACAAAAAATCTGTGTGTATTTTGGCATTTAGGTAAAGTGCCTTCTCTTTGTTGGGCCTTGAATTCTGGGTAGGGATAGAAGGAACCAGGACAAATAAGCATATATCTTATGTAATTGATAGTTTGAAACATAAATCTGTTTAAAAGTTATGCAATGTATACAAAGAACCAGAAGAGTGCAGTATACCATTATTCTTCTAGCGATGTAAATTTTGCTATTTAAAGATGTACTACAAATTTAATTCCTGTAATCCCCAAAAGACTAAAATAATTAAAATGGGATTCAAATTTTAATGATCTAATAGAGACCTCTTGTGGTGAAATTTAGCATTTCCACAAGGTAATGTTGATAGTTTTTTCCTTCTAAACAGTTACATACAATGTTTATAGGAAAACCTTGCTGCAGAAAATATCTTCTTAATGATTGCTATTGTCTTAACCAAATGATAACATTCCAGAAAATCCTAATCCTAAAAGTGGCATTATTCCTGGAAGTTTAAGTTTTGAATCAATGCTGTCTGCTGTGGCTGATTTTAAAGCCCCTGTATTTGAGGCAGGGGGTTCCATGCAGCAAGGAATGTATACACCTAAAGGTAGGATAAAATGTATTAATGTACTGTACATTTGCAACTTATTTTAAGCACTCTAAAAAGATCAGAAATACTTCTATTTCATTTTTAACACCGGTTACATAGTGTTAATTATATGATGTATGCTTGAATGATATGTGCTTTTGTTTTCTTAATCACTTGATTTAAAGAAACATGGTGACTTTTGATGTGTAAAAAAGAATATAATGGATAATATTGCTCTGTTTTAATCTTGGGGAAGAAAGGTTGTGATAATGGAGATGGTGAGGATAAATGAAGTGCATTCTGTTACTGATCTATTCATCTATATAGTACATGCATAGCTTTATATGAAATTACCATAATTATTATATATGTAGTATCATAATTAAATTATGAATTTGTGCATATTATGAATTATAAAATTATGACAATAAAATAATCATAATATGTAAATATGTACTGGCTCTTTTTAACAGCTGAGATCTGGGATGAAGAATTTGACCCAGTCATGGTAATTCTCCGAACTGTTTATCGCAGAGATGTACAGTCTGCAATGGATAGATATACTGCCTTGTAAGTGGAATATGTTCTGTGTCATAAAAAGACCGTTATGTAACAGAAATAGGAAGCTGTTGACTATTTGGAATTTCTCTCTCTCTGTGTGTTTAAGTGCCTTACAGAAGAATTAAGGGAGGCAAAAAAACCCTTTCCTTTAATATAGGCTTACCAATTAAAACATCTTCAAGCTAATGGCTGAAATTTTAATTTATCTGTTAATACTGGTTTGTTGGCAGCAGTACTCTGTTTATTCAGGAAAATAGACACTTTGCATCAGAAATAGTAACAGTAATTATAGTTTTCTATATTGGCTTTTATGTTAATGCCCAATCTAGGTGAATTGCAAGCTGCTTCTAAATATAATAGGATATTTCTTGTGTTCAAACTAAGTATTAGAGAAATACCATATTGTTTAGAGTATAAGATGCTCTGAAGTATAAGACGCACCTAGCTTTTGGGGAGGAAAACAAGAAAAAAATCTGTCTCTGCCTCCTTGCAACAAACAGCCTGGTCTGCTTCAGCACAGCCTGATTAGTACAAGCAGCTGATTGTCGGTTGGATCATCCTCCCGATGATCAGTTGTTTCAGGCTGCAGGGATCGCCATTGCCTATTGCTGCCTCCGCGCACCCCATTTTCGGCCTCTTCATCCCATTTTCCGCCTGTTCCAATCCCCGCCACCCGGAATGGGTGGGAAATGGGGCACAAGGAGGCCGAAAACAGGCTGTGCGGAGTTTGAAAACGGGATGTGGAGCCCGAAAATGGGGCATGCGGAGGCAGCAATAGGTGATGGCAATCTTTTCAGCCTGAAACAGCTGATCGTAGGGAGGACGATCCAACTGACAATCAGCTGCTTGTGCTAGTCAGGCTGTGCTCAAGCAGACCAGGTTGTTTGCTGTTTGCTGCAAGGAGGCAAATTGCTGGGAGGCAGAGGCCGAAGGGTGGGGGCCGGCATGCACAGACATTTCCACCCACTTTTTTGGGGGGGGAGGGAAGTACGTCTTATATTCTGAAAAAATACGGTAATCTGTGAATGTATGCAAGTCTCAGTATTGCATATTGAATCAATTGTGCCTGGAATATAGTCAAGAGAAAATCCATTGTTGTGGATAAGCTCTAAAATCTGATCCATGTTTATATACAGTTTCAATTTAGTCAGGGAAAAACTGTTTTATTTATAGATTATGACAAGTTATCCCTTATTAGGGTGCTACATAGTAGTTAAATGTATACTTTTTGTATACTGCAAAATATTATGAAATGTCTGGTTTTGAGCTAGATTTGGTCTATGTTTTTATTGCTTTGGTTTTTAGAAGTGATATGTCAAAATGATGTATCACCTGCCATATTTCATATATATATATAACCTTTTCATTTTTTAGTGAATTGAATAATGTGTTCCTTCAGGCGAAGTAAAATCAGATTGGATCAACCTTTCGAGTTTCTTCTTTCCTCAGTCTTCTATTCCTTTTTTTCCTTCAACTCTGTATCTTTAGCTTAAAAAGTGGTTCAAATTCAAGTGTATAATTAATCTTCATGTTTACAGGTAAAGAATATTCAGTGTAGAATTTCTGTCTTTTACAGTTTAAAACAGAGTGGAAAAGTCCATGGAAATCCTTGGCCTCCCTACAAGAAACGAACACATTTGCACCCAAGTTATAAAGGACTCATGAAACTTTTGCATTGCAAAACTTTACACATTGTACTGTTCACTCTACTCTACAAGGTAGTATTGGAAAGGCTGGGATAAAGAATTTGAAACTAAGAATTACTTTCAACATTGTTTTAAGTTTTGTGCGAAAAATATTGTTTTTATTACACACAATACAATGCAATACATAAATTGTACATGTTTTCCTCTTTTTCATTGTTTTTCCAAAGGAAAAACTGAACACAAGTACATATATTTAAGCTTACTAGTATGTATGTATCTATGTATGTATATACAGTTTGTACTTTTTCAGTTCTTTTTAAAAAATAATAATCTTATGATAAAATATTTTTCCGGTTGTGGTTGAGGATTCTTGTAACATTCATTAATACTGTGTATTCAGTTATTGAATTCTGAATGGGAAGTTTTTATTCCCCTGAATTCTAAATGGAAAATGTGTTTCTTTATTTTGTCATAGATTTTAATGGATCATCAAAATTTGTCAGAACATGTCCTTTGCATGGTTTTATATTTGATTGAATTGGGACTAGAGAATTCTTCTGAACAGGAATCTGATGAAGAAGTAAGTGCTAATTAAAGCATTTTACATAGAAAACAAACAAGCTTTGCATTGAAATGGTGCAGTGTTGTGCTTTTTTCAGGCTTCTTCTCCATACCATTTTTCTCCAATTTTCCCTTCTTTTTATATTCTGCCATATTTCCTGCCTACTGAGTATTTCTTCCTCCATTTATAGGTTTTCTCCTGTACCTGTACTGAAAACACACTTTCAGTTGCATGACATTTAAGTTCTCTTATTGAGAAATTAAATCTTCAATTGTGAAGTTATATTAAAAATAATTGTTAAATGTGAATGTGAAAGTATCCCACTCATACACAAAAAATTTACATTATTCCTTCATTCATTTATATATGCATTCTCCTGTTCCAGCCATTCCATTTTGTTTTCTCCTGCTGCTTTTCTTGATTATTCCCATTCAAGTCAACCTATATCTCTATAGATTCTACATTCTAAGTTACCGAATTATTATGGGATAGTTTTTAATCATTCCTACAAAATCGTGTTATTTGCAAAATTAAGGCTACCCCACATCTGCTAATATCTTGTTTGTATGGATGGATGATGTGATTTTCTCTTTTTGCAACCTGAGAAATCTCCAATATATACTAGCCTTTGTGATGCATTTTATTTTTAGAGATATGTTTCTCTCGTTGAGTAAAGATAGATGGATTTAAAGGGTGAAGGTGAGCTCAAAGGAAAAGTAATATAACATGTCAACTAAAAATGAGTATTTTAGCCAAGCTAATCTTGTGCAAGTTATTTCTTCTCCACTTACCAGGCATAGTATAGGAATAGCAGTAAATCACAAACCTCTTTGAAGGGTTATAAAGAACATGTATTGCTGACCTTGGTATATGGAAGTATGAATTCCATAGGATTGCTATTTTAATTTTTTTGGGGGTTCCATTTATGTATAATAGTAGATTAAGATTTTTTAAAAAATAGTGTATTGAACATATCACAATAATCTAGGACACATAAAATGCTAAGATATGATATTCACGATAAGATAAAAGAAAAATCAATGATAATAATGTGATCCTGGAATTTAGTAAAAGTATTATGTACCCAGGTTTTCTGAGTACTTTGTAAAGTGAGATGCTACATGTTAGGGTCATGCAACCCATTTGGGGACTTCACTTGGTGAGCAATCCCAAGAGAAGCATATCCTGGACAATTCTCAAAACGTTTGAAGAAGCCCTAATAAGACCTTGGGTGACATAACCACTCCAAGAATGTCCCTTCAAATGTTTTACGCTGCATGAATAAGTATAAATTCTATTCTATCTTGAACATACTTCCCCCCCCCCCCAAGATATTAGTCTATATATTTATTGTTATTAAACTACCATAGTTACATGGCTAAATAGAGAACTAAGTATTTTTTTACATGCTGAAGTTGATATTAATTTTTATATATTTACTGTTTGTGCTAATTGAATCGTACAATGTTGATCATCAACTTCATGTGTTATGGTTAACATACTAGGATTCCATGGGTGGCCATGAACGTTGCCATGATAGCTGGTTTCCAGGGAATAATTTGGTGTCAAATATGCGTCACTTTATTAACTATGTGCGGGTACGAGTACCAGAGACAGCACCAGAGGTGAAAAGAGAACTGCCTGCAAGTACAAGCTCTGATGGCTTAGCAACCTCTCAGGTAAAGTTGTAACCTCTATTTTTTTTTTCTTACTGTGGTAATTTTAGATGTTTAAGTTCAGCATAGATTTTAATCTTTATATAGGGAGTTCAAGTAAGCTTTGCTTAAAATGTATTTTTCTCTGTCACTGTTTACATATCTGGTATTTAGTAATATGATTCTAAAGGATTTTTAATAGCCTCCTTTTTCCTCCAACTTATCAGAATCCAAGGCGCTCTAAAGGACTCCAGAGAGAGGTAGATTTGTGTGTATTTTGTAAATCTAATGCAATGTTGCTTTAACTATGCTGACCCTAACATTATGGCATTTCCTATTCATTTCAAACCACTAAGACACAGTATTTTTGAAATAGTCTTATGATTGTATTAAAATATTTGTATTTCTATTAAAATATATGAGTGTAATCCTTTAGTTTGGTCCTAAATTCAATATGCGAGCTGCCAGAAATAATAAGTAACTTGTTAATGGAATATATGCTAGCTTGCTTTGTTTGAATATGTATGAATTTTTGTTGGAAGTATTGCTAATATTTAATAATTTTCAATTTAGTTTCCCTTTTCTCAGTAAACTTAGGCTTCCGGTACTGTTAAAAATAATTTGAGTTGAAAAATTATTCATGTTCATGAACATAATTATTTTATAATTAATTCATAATTGGATTGTTACCTCTCAGATAGAAAAATTATGAAGATCTAAGCCATAGTCTATTTTCCTAGGTAAAACAAACATGCATTCTTATATTTTATTAGAATTGAGATTATGATTTTAAAAAACCCTACTAAATGGAAAGTAGGTATCCTCCTTTAGTTTTTTAAGAGTGGCAATAAGCTCATATTATGTGACGTACAACTTTTTGTGAAATATATAGTGTAGAGTTTGATTTTTGGATCATCACTAGAATTTTTCCTAAGCATTCCAAATCTTTTGGAGTATTAAATGTGTGTTTGTTAATAATTGCTTTTTAAGGAAGAAAAAAAAATGTTGTATGTGATCCCCTTCTGTAAATGTTAGACCATAAATTGTTAAAACTGTTCAGAATAAGAGAAGTTCTTGAATCTTACTTTGGATTTTAAAAAATCTATTAAACATACATTCTGGTACTTACCTAAGAATAAACTGAGTTTACTATTTCCCCAAAATTCAGTTTGGAATATATTAGTATTCCATTGTTAATTTGGCTTGTGCTTTTTATATTGCAACCTGCTGAAGTGAACTAACTTTATATTGGTAGCATACCTTAATTTGAAATCATGGTTTGAAGTTGTCTTATGAATCTCCTTTTGTAGTATTTGTGGCTTGTTGTTCCATCCCAACTTTATTTCTTTGCTTAATCTTAGCTGATTATTTCATTCTGTTCTTCTCCAGTCTTGAAGGAAAAAGACAGCTAGGAAGGGAAAAAAAAACCCCTACAAGACAGTTTAAGAACTTCTCATTCACAGTTCTCAGATTTCTCTGTCCTTCTTTTCTTTGCCTATCACCAACTCTTTCCTTTCCCAGATCCTTTCTGACAAGCCTTCCCTCTTCACAACATTTCTCCGCATTACAAGGAGCAACACTAAACACTTACATTGGTATTTACCTCTGTTTCATAAAAGATACGTGTTAAAAGTACATATATCCTACATAGCAATAGCACTTAGACTTATATACCACTTCACAGTATTTTCCAGCCCTCTCTAAGTGGTTTACAGAGTCAGCATATGGCCCCAACTATCTGGGCCCTCGTTATACCGACCTCAGAAGGATGGAAGGCTGAGTCAACCTTGAGCCAGTGAGACTCAAGCTGCCAAAATGTTGGCAGCCGGCAGTCAGCAGAATTAGCCTGCAGTACTGCATTCTAATCACTGCGCCACCATGGCTCTTATGGTAAACTAAAGAAGCTGTTCAACAGATTGAATAATTTGTTTTAAAGCCTACCAAGTCTACACTAAACCCTGTTTCTGCTCCAATCCTTATATGTATTCAGGACCAAGTTGCTGTAAATAATTGTACTTCTAGTTCCCTATTATTAACATTTTAGTAGAAATAGCAGAAAATGTGTGTTGGGAGGTATTTATTACATTTATTTATGTACCTCCTCAAGATTCCGAGTGGTTTATAAATTCATTCATTCAATCAGTCAGTCAGTCAGTCTGTCTGTCCGTCTACTCCCCACCCACATGAAACATCGAACACAAACCTTTCCATGCTGTCAAATAAAAAAAGTGCATCCAAAAATAGCTGAGTTTTACAACTCCAATTCAAAGGCTTCTGTAGAAATTATTCAGCAGCTATGCAACGGCTAGAGAATTTTCAAATATCTTTCTGGTCCTGCAATTCTGTATAATGACTCAAATGTTTAATAGGATTTTAGTTTCTTTAACAAACCATGTTTAGCGATGCACACAAATGCGACTAAAATGTTTTACACAGTTAAAGCTTAGCTTACAAATTAAATCAGTTGAAATGTAGAAAGTTTGCTCCAAAAGGGGAAGATGGGATAAAAAGCATTTGATCCTTCTCCTGATCGTGTTATCTGGTGTAGCAGTGGAGACTTATGTACACTTTAGCCTTACAGAACATGGCATTCATTTAAGTTGCATTTGCATATAATACTTTGCTAGCTTTTTAAAAAAAATGTTTCACAAGCTATTATGGCTTGATTCACACACACTGCTAAACTGTTACAAGTTAATTTCCATTCTATGCTAAACCAAGCACAAGCATACCACATTTCGGTTCAACATTATATATGAACATTATATGTAAAGGAGTGTGTGTGTGTGTGTGTGTGTACAATACAGTATTTTTCAGTTGTCAGTTTCATTGCATTTTAGATTAAACTAAAATTCCCTTTGGTATGCTTTGCTGTTGCTGCTAAAATGTTTCGCAAAAAGTGGGGGTTTTGGCATCTAATGCAGTGTTTATGTTTTCCTTTTAAGAATTCAGGGACTGCACAAGTGTTCAGTTTGGTTGCAGAGCGTCGAAAGAAATTTCAGGAGATAATTAATCGCAATACTACTGAAGCCAGTCAGGCTGTTCGGCCGAAGTCTTCAATGAAATGGTCTGCTCCTGGTGCAACTCCCCAATTAACAACAGCTATTTTAGAAATCAAAGAAAGCATATTGTCCTTGCTTATTAAGCTTCACCATAAACTGTCAGGCAAACAGAACTCCTACTATCCTCCGTGGTTGGATGACATGGATACGTCAAATCACCACGAAAACCCCAAATATTCTCATGGCGATGGAATGACTGCTGTAGAAAGGATTTTATTAAAAGCTGCTTTTCAAAGTAGATTAAACAAACACATCATTGAAGAAATATGTAGAAAAGTAACTCCAATGGTCCCACCCAAAAAGATTAGTCCAACAGAGAAGAAAACTTTGGACAAAGAAGAAAGGTAATTTTTTTTAAAACGCTGACAAGAGAAGCATGATATTATTTTGTTCTCCAACTGTTATTGTTGCCTTATTTTGCATTTGAAAATGTATTCTAAAAAAGTGGGTTGTGGGCAAAAACTTCCTTATGGGTAATACAAGCCATGTTCTAATTTAACATTTTATGATTTGATTTTATTTTTTTATCCTATTTTATTTTATTATTTTATTTAATACTGTACATTTTCTAGGGGGATGAACAGGCTGAGCTAGAGGGCAGAATTAAATATGTAATCGTTTTGAAGTCATTGCGTAGCCCCAAGAGACCCAAGTCTGGCCTTGCACGAATTCCATTGACCCTTATCTCGTTCCAAATTAGCTTGGACCATTAGTTCTCAGATTCTTGAGTATAGGTGGCAAGAATGAACTCTTACTGCTTTGAACACAACTCCTGTTCCTGGTTATTTGTGTCTGGCAGTTTTGTAGTTTTGGATGACAGAATAAGCTATATTGAAGTTTTTTTTAAAGTAAAGACAAAAACCAAATTCACCTCTACATAATATTTCAGTTAAGGTTAAATCCTATGCCTGTTCCGATTGCTAAGCACATGGGCATCTAGTAAAATGTAAGGCATGTGAACATCAGCGGTGGCTGGCTCTGGGCTGTCAAGACTTGTGGAGCTAAATGTCTACCGAACTGGAACAGAAATACATGGTGAATGTGAAGTTGCTCAGGGTGCAGTGAAGAATCCAACGAATTAGAAACAGAAATCTGGTTAAAATAGGCAAAATACAAGAGCTTTTTAAGATGGTTGCCTGTCTATATGAATATATTATGGTAACAAATTACGACTACACAAGGAATGGTGTCTTACTAAAGCCATTTTGGCAATTTTTCAACTGACTGAGAAATGTCATGTGCGAATTAGCCTTGAAAAACTACACAGGTGACTTTCATATAATGATCAGTTGTTCAGCAACAGTTTGGATATATAATGGAGCTAAACAAATGGTACGTACAAGCAGTTACCAAATTATGACGGTTGCAACATCTTCATAGTCATGTGATCACTATTTGCGACTGTCTTTACTAGCTTCTTACAAAGTCAGTGGGGAAGCCAGCGGGAAGTTACACAGGGCGACATGGCAGATTTGCTTAACGATGACAGCAAGAAGTGCTAGAATCTCTATGACTAAGTGGTGTGTTGGATTGCTTAGTGATGAAAGTTTTTGACCCAGTTGCCATTGTTAAGCAAGAACCACCTGTAATTGCTTGCTGAATTAAAGTTAAGGCAAAGGAGGCCTCTAGACTGTGAATATGTACAGATACATAGCAAAATATACGTTGCTGCTAAAACAGGTCTAAAATCCAATCTTCCAAAAAGTCTTGTATTAAATCCAGGTAACTTTAAAATACAAAATGGATGTTTTAAGGAATAGTTTGTGTATGTTTGTGCCTTTGAGTCAATCTTGGCTCCCAGTGACTGCATAGACAAGTAGTTTTCTTGGCAAGGTTTTTCAGAGGTGGTTTGCCTTCTTCATATAGCTGAGAGAAAGGTCCTGGCCCAAAGTCACCCAGCTGGTTTTCTTTCCAAGGTAGGATTAGAACTCAGAGTCTCCCAGTTTCTAGCCCAGTACCTTTAACCACTGTACAATTCTGGCTCTGAAAGGAATAGTTACTGATTAGTTATGTCTTTAGAGAGAAGCATAGAACAGAATTGATTATGCATATCCAGTGACAACATCTAAAGATCTGTTCAAGAGTTTTCCCTTTCTCTGGAGTGAGGGTCATATGGCTGAGGCTGAGAGGTCTTCTTTGTGGGAGCCCTCACATTTCAGACTAGAAGTCTGTAAAGCGTATATTCCCTTGTGATTTTTAGACAGCTTAATTTCAATGAGCCTTCAACTCTAAATAAATTTTATTGGTGTCCATCTTAGAGAATTATTATTATTGTTATTTTTCAACAGTTGGATTATTTATGTCGGAGCTTTTGCAGTGTTAATGTGCTGTAAGCCTTCCAGAATATATTGAGCTCAGTGAGCTGTGAAACTGGTAAATAAATAAGTCTCAGTGCTTTGGACTGCCATCTGTCAGAAGTGGTGTAGGGTCTCCCGCTTGGGCGGGGGGTTGGACTAGATGACCTACAAGGTCCCTTCCAACTCTGATTATCTGTTATCTTTGCCTAGCAGTTTTCAGATATATCAGTGGTTGCTGTGTTCTTATCAGCAGCCATATGAAGACTTTTCCATTGTAATGTAATTGATTTAAATTTGTCATTACAACAGAATATGCTCCAAAATTAAAAACAAACAAACAAACAGAAATGCCACTGAGAAGAGCAGAGGAATTGTTGTTGTTGTTGTTGATCTGTTGAGTAGGCTAGGCCTTCAAACACTTATGCATACTTTTTTATATATAAATGGTGCTTGGAGGGGGGGCAGTTAGAACATTTTACAAATATGGCACAAAGATCAGGAATAGCAATTTGAAAATTCATCCATACATCAGGAATGTATCAAGCATCTGCAACTCTGAAAATATTCCGAGTAAAAATGAGTGCAGATGTAAGATGCGCTCAACTCTTTATAAAGAGTACAATCTAAATTTGTAAAAAATATTTTAGTGCAATAAGTAGAAAAGGACGCAGTACATGAAAACTAGTTTCCTGGAGCAAACTAACAGATGTAAAGATTTGTTAGTAAAAGATGTGACATCTCCTCTGTACCTCCACCCCCAGATATATAAAAATTAAAGTGATAATAAACAACTAATAAGGGATACGTTGGAGAGGAGTCTTTATATCAGAACTCTTAAGTTTAATCCTAGTGGATCTTTTTGACAGAGGATTCAAGGAAAAGTCAGGTATAAACAGTCATGTTGCTGTGTTGATTCCATTATGGAGACGTATACTGTGCCATAACATGATGTCCCTCTGCTAGCTAAGTTCCCAGGAAGGTTGAAAGAGATGTATGTGAGTTTTTCTGAGATATTTGAATTGGAAAAATTTCAAATGCAGATGGGCATGTTTTAAGTAGTCATATTTGTCCCAGGATTCATAACTTGAAATGTGTATAGTCAATATTACTTGATGTGCAAAAATATATCTAGCTTATTGTCTTTGTGATTTGAACATTGCAATCAAAGAAACCAAAAGCTTTCATGTGAGGAGAAAAAAGATTTTAACAAGAATACTTGAAAACAGCAGTGCGGTAGAATAATATGCAATTGCCATGTATTTTATTTTGGTAAATACTCACCTGAAAGGTAAACATCATATTATTTTGGTATAGACACATTTGCATGAATTGGAAGTTTGTCCATGGAAAATTGAGTTTCCTGGACACAGAACCATATTTATGATCGGAGGCACATTGTACAGATGTTCTTAGAAGACCTATGTCAATAGAAAACAGATTGTGACAATGTTGTGTGCTAAATCTTTTGCAGTATGTAAAATCATCACCCAGATATAAATATCTATCATGACTTGCTTTGTTTCACTGAACATAAATCACAATAAAGTGCTATCTGTCAGTGCTGCCTGTAACTGCCATCTATCAGCCGGGGAGTTGAGAAGCTCAGCTATTGCTGTTGATGCTAGAATAAAAACTGGGCAAAAAAGAGACTGGATGACCTATTTTCTAGCTTATTCATCTTAGGCAAACTTGGCATCGCCCGCAGAATTTGTTGCTATAGGAACTAAGGCACAGAAAGGAATTTTGCTGGGTTGCTTTGTAATACTTTTAGTCTTTCTGCGTGGTCCCCCTTGGGGCATTGCGGAAAATTACCGACTTGTACTGATTCTGTCAGTTTGTTTCTGTCTCCTTATTAAGGGTCTCTATTTAGCCAGTTTAACAAAGGCACAGCGGAGAGGGATATCTTGGAAAAACATGAGTTGCCTCATATTCTTGATAAAAGTTTCCTTTGAGTGATTACAATTTACTTATGTGTTGAAAACATGTTTAGCCCTCTTCCTGTTTAACATCTCAGAATGGCACTATTCTGTATTTGTGGGCACTGTTTTTTAAACTTTATATACAATATGTCCTTATTTTAGTCAGTGTTTTGTTTTATCGCGTTGCATTTTGTTTTGAATTATACAGCATGCATTAACATGGAAGGGGCCTTTTAGATCATTAAACCTATTCCTCTCAGTGCAAGAATCCAAAATTAAACAGTCTCAATAGATCCCCATCCAGTCTGTATTTAACACATCCAGAGGAGGAGAGTCCACTACATTGTGTCCTTTAGGATGAGACAACTTCGACAGTCATTCAGATATTTCAAAGAGTGCTATCATAGCTACCTCATTTTTCTTCTCTCCCCTGCCCCCACCTTCCTTGTAATGGTATGTGGAAATGACCTTGGGAGATAGGAGGTGCACCAGACTACCAGCATGTAAAAGATATTTCAGCCCACAGAAGGCGGGAGGGCATTGGAAACGTTTCAGAAAGGACCCTCTCTAGAGAATAAAAGGAAAGGAGGAAAGAAATACTTTCAATCTTGAAAGATTGTATTAGTGTTTCTTTACAATAAATATAGTGCCAGTATGCCCAGATTTGCTTTTTATCTGAGTTACCTTGCAGGGCTCACAGTCCTTCAGTCTCATAGATCATTATCTTTCTTTATCATTCTCATTTGATTTTTGCATATGGTATTAGGTGTACTGGCTAAAATCCTAGAGAACAAAATCAGCATTTAAAGTAGGAAAAATTAATTATGGTAATAGCTGTTAATGGAACAGCTTGAGTACCACTCATAGGAATTCTTGCACTGATCAAGTTGTGGAGATTGATAACATATGATGATGATGCTCCTTTAATTGTGTTAGATTCTCATTGATTATATTGATTATAGCCCCATTTTCTTATCTTGAACTACTTCCTTCAGTTGTTCTATGCTCTGGCTGGTGTTGTAGTCCCTTTCAAAACCATATACCTAGGATTCTAGGGTATTAGCCATCCCACCAAATGTTGTGCTGTCTGCAATTTTTGTAATGGTGTCATTTACTTTTTCATCCAGTGATAAAAATGTTGTGGAACATAGGTATGAGCAGATCTTATGAGATTGTACTTGATGGCTCACTCCATTGGATAAGATACCAATGACTGGTGCCCGTGAATGCAGCTTTCAATCCACTTATGTATTTGTCTAATTGTATGTCATTCAGCACATGTGCAAATAGCTTGCTAATCAAAATATCATGTATTGCTGTCTTTTGATCTGTTAATCCTTGAGCTAGTCTATTATTTGGAACTAGCAATATTTGTCCTTTCCTGGATTCCTCAGAAGTAACGCACAGAAGGTAATAAGACTTATTTTTTAACTGAGACCAAGAATCTGCCATTTACTGCTTCTGTCCTAGACTGCTTTTGGCCTAGCAAGCTAGAAGAGAAAGCAGTAAAAGAAAAGTTGAGACACAGAAGTGACTTCGGGGCAAAAATGACCTTTCAGATTTGGGGGAGAAAAATAAGAATTGATTCTCATATCAATCTATAAATAGACCTTATAAATAAATGTCCACAAGTACTTTATAATCATAACCCCACACCTTCTTTTGATTTCATTAGACGACAAAAGGCCAGGGAACGACAACAGAAGCTTTTGGCTGAATTTGCATCAAGGCAGAAAAGTTTTATGGAAACTGCTATGGATGTTGGTAAGATTTGTTTTCAGTTTGCACTATTCATTCTTTTTGGTATTGGGAAATGAAATTAAAAGGCAAATGAGGAAGAATAGAACCTCTTTTAGACTGAACAGAACAAAATAGTATCTTCTCTTTAGATTCCATTTTAGAACATATAGCTAACAGTAACTATGGAAATAATTGTTTACATTCAAAATGAGGTTCCTAACAAATTATGGTGATGAATCTCTGCTCTAAATATAAGCTATCCCAGTAGTTTTGTTTTCATGTTAAACATATATTGAAAAAAGCGATAGGTCTTTATATTTATTGTAGTATTTGCATCTGAAGCAGACAAGGATACTTCAGAATTAGTGTGGGCCCATTCATTATTGCTCAGCTATTCCTTAAAAGGTACCATACCTTTCCTGAGATTTGCATGGTATTTGCATGGACTCTGGTAAATATACTTTTGAATTTGATAGGTGGCAGGATGTGTGATGATGAGTCACCACTGAGGTGACATCTCCGTAACGCTGCCAGTATTAAAACTTGTACTTTCCTGAATCTTTTATTGCTCCTGTGCATGCCCAGGTACAATACCTGAAGTTGTTAGCTTTAAATGTGTCCAAATAGTTCTCAACTTAACAACCACAACTGAGCCCAAAATTTATGTTCAGTGAGAAATTTGTTAAGTGAGTTTTGCCCCATTTTCTTCCACATTTCTTAAGTGAAGCACTGCAATTCTTAAAATTAGTAACACAGTTGTTAAATGGCTTCCCCATTGACTTTGCTTGTCAGAAGGTTGCAAAAGGGGATCTACATGACTCTGGGACACTGCAACTGTCATAAATACGAGTCAGTTGTCAATCCGAATGTAAATCATGCGACCCCAGAGATGCCGCAATGATCATAAGTGTGAAAAATGGTCATAAGTCACTTTTTTCAGTGTTGTTGTAACTTTGAACAGTCACTAAATGAACTGTTGTAAGTCAAGGACTACTTGTACAGGTAGTCCTCAAGTTACAACAGCAATTGGGACCTGAATTTTTGCCACTGAGCAATGTAACCGTAAATTATTATGTCCCATGACCACATGACTTAGCAACAGTAATCCCTGCAGTTCCCATCATTGCTGTCATTAAGTGAGGAGTGAGGGTTATTAAGTGAGCACCTCCTTGCAACTTCCTGCCAACTTCCAACAGCCAAAGTCAGTAGGAAGCCAATAGGAAGCTGCAAGTCCCAGACAACTTGCAAGCAGGTCAGCAGGCAGGTAAGTGGCTACTGCTGAGTGGGAGAGAGTGGGGAAGGGGTACACAAGGCGGAGTGGGTTTGGGGTGGCTGCTGTGGGGTGGGAGAGGATGTACAAGACTCCGGGATAGTGTGTGGGTGAGAGAGATTTAATCAAGCAACTTGCAACGTTCCTTGCCAGCTTCCGTTGTAACTTTGAATTGGAGCGGTTGGCAGGGAAGATTGCAAATCACAACCACATGACTGGGACGGTACAGTTTTTGTAATGGCAAGCCCATTGCCAAGTGCCCAGATCTCAATCACATAACCACGGGGTGCTGGAACCATGGTAACCTTTGAGCATTTGTCATTATCATTACTCCTTCAGCATGGTCAAAACTTAAAATGGTGGTGATGTAGTGGTTGTTAATCAAGGAGTGCCTACATTTATTTACTTACTAATTTTTTTATCTTTCATTCATAACTCATGAATGCACCGTCCTGCTTTACTCCATCACCATAAACCTATGAGATCAGTCACACTTGAGATTGTGATGGTCCAAAATCACCCAGTGAGTTTCTATGGCAAAGGGTGGGCTAAGAAAGCAAACATAATTTAAAGAATAATCAATAGGGCTGGCAAGATAGTTTAATTTCTTCTAAATTTAAACAACACCACAAGCAAAGAGACTGGCAACTACCCAAGAAACTGTGTGTCTCAGTATTATAAAGTAGAAGAGGATATTGTAGATAAGCAAAGAAACTCAATAGGTGGCTCACAACCTGGTCAGTAGTTGCATTGCTTCCTACTTCTCCAGACAGATTTTAACAATATATGGATATTAGTTGAATTTGCAGGTGGTTTCCGGTAGTGTGTGCCTACCACAAGGTTTTGCAAGTCCTGGTTTGACAATTCAGAGAAGAAGCATTTTGATTAAAACTGCTTTTGAAGGTTCTTCCAGCATGAATTGAAGCCCAGCTCAGGATCACTTTTGAAATATTAATTAATTAATACTTTCATTCATTCTATATGGCTATTTATCTCACACATATGACTCAGGGTGACTAATAGAAAATAAAAATAAGATTAAAACACCATAAAACGCAAATATAGGAGCCAAAATAAAAGCAGTCGTCACCATCAACTTAGTGAAGGTACAGGCTTAGCCACACAAGCTGAACACCAAGCTTAGAAACAAAACTAAGTTTTTAAGGCCTCATGAAAAGGGAGTTAGGGTCAAGGCAAATCTAATAATATCTGGAGGAATGTTGCTCAGAAGGCAGATGCCCTAACAGAAAAAGTTTTCCTCCTTTGACATACCAGACGATACTTCATAGCAGATGTGTCTTCTATTGGATCTTATAGTATGGGTAGATACAATTTGGGACATATGGTAACCCAGTCCCATGCCATGAACAATTTTATACTCACTACCAATATCTTGAATGTAACCACAAAATATATTGGTAACCCATGTACCTGGTAACATGTATTCTGGACCAGTGGTTTGCAACTGTATAGAAAATGTTAGAAAATCTTTTTAGAAAATTTCAATCAATTATGTATATTAGAAACTGAAGCTCTTGGTTATAAAATTGAATCCCTTTCTTACTCCAGGCTATAGGAGAGTCGGGGGAGAAATGTGTCACCTGTTCTGGACACTCAGTGTAACTGTATCCTTCAGACTCCTGAAGCATAAGATTTTTTCTACTTAAAGGTCTCCCAATTGCCTGAGTCAATTGCCTGTGTTTGAACAAATTACAATATACAATGCTCTAATGATAATCTAGAGCAGGGGTGTCAAACTCGCGGCCCATGGCCAGATGCGTCACACGCTGTCCATGTCCAGCCCTGGTTTAGCGAAGGGGGAAAAAGTCACAATAAATCACGTGACGATAATGTGATGCCACGCGTTTGACACCCCTGATCTAGAATGTCTAAATCAATATTTTTCAATCATCCTGAGGATTGTCTTAAAGGGCATATAGGTGGTCCTCGACTTACAACAATTCATTTAGTGACCATTCAAAATGACAGTGGCACTGAAAAAGTGATATTTTTCACACTTCACAACTATTGCAGGAACCCTTGGGGGGTCACATGTTCAAAATTCAGTTGCTGGGCAACTGACTTATTTACAACAGCTGCAGTGTCTTGGGGTCATGCGATGCCCTTTTGCGACCTTCTTACAAACAAAGTTAATGGGGAAGCCAGATTTACTTAAGAGTCATGTTACCAACTGAACAACTGCAGTGATTCGCTTAACAACTGTTGTAAGAAAAGTCATAAAATGGGGCCAAATTCACTTAACTGTCCAGCAGAAATTTTTGGCTCCATTGTGGTCGTAAGTCAAGATTCCCTCCATTGTTGTTTTATTTCAAATTATTTGAAATTAAAGGTTTTCCTTGAATTATATTTCCCTTTAATTATTTTAAATGAATTATTTAGAAGTAAGTAAATATTTATATTTTAGCTAATTTAATTTAATTTTTAAATCAATTTATTTCGCACATTTATTTTTAAGAGTTTTTTTTAGCTAATGCCAAACAGGTGGTTAGGAGAATGAAATAGGCCTTGAAAGGAGTTGGAAATGCTATAGTAACTGAAAATCACCTGTCATTGTCATCAGCTGTTTATACACAGTATTTTCTCTGCAGAAGGTCTGTGGGCCTTGGTAGAGCAGGAAAATTTTTGTCTATAATTTCAAAAACTATATCTGGTCAAAGCCAATAAAACTGGAGCCTTATTCAACATACAGCAATTTCCTTTGCTCTTTCCTTAATCTTGGTTGGGCTAGGTCTTTGGATAGGAAATTGAAGAGTTTTTATTATCTCAAGTTGCTATAAGGCAAAATAGGATATACCTATAATCATAATTCATGGCTGGCCAGTTTTTGCTTTGCTGCCATAAATGATGTCTGTAGAAATGCCTAATGGAACAGCTGTTCTAAGGGAAAATTTGCATCATTTTGCATAAAATCGTATGACCTTCAAATCTGCCTGATTTGATCACATGTGCTATGTTAAAAAAAAACTTGGTAAAATTAAAGGGTGGATTTTAGTTCTCTGAGAATTCGTGAAGAATATATCCTTTAAATTGTAATGTAGGGTGAATTGTTTTTTTTTCCAGTCTCTTATTAATACTGCATCATTTAGCACACAGTTTCTGAAGTATCATTTTTTGAAGAGTTGAAGGTGAGAAAGAGAGAAACTGCACGACACAGTTTTAGAACATAAATAGCTTACTCTGTTCTTCTGAGAATACACATGCTACGTTAGGCCAACCAACCATTAGCATGCTGATTCTGGGAATCATCTTGATGCAGCAGTTCTGTAAGGGTAGCGCTGCTTCTGGTTACACATTGTAAACTCTTTTTCCTTTTGGAATATTAACTGTTTTCAGTGTTTAAGTTTAGGAGCTATGAAAGCAGAAAACATTTAAATATCGAAGTCTGGAGGATCAGAAAGATCTATGTTTGTTCCATTAATCCAGGGCTGCTTGGTTTTTTTGGTTTTTTTAAACACACACACACACACACACACACACACACACAATCAGAAAATTCTCTTGATCCCCCAAACTGCAATGATTAATAACTATTCCATATACTTATTTTTTATTTATTAGAATACCAGGTAGACAGTGGCGATATATTGTATATCTGGTGCTATGCTGCCAAATAAGAGTAACTCTGGATTACTGAAAATGGGCACTTCTCAAAATAGATCATTTCATTAAAAACAATTGATTACTGTTAAGATTAATGCTGTGAAATTTGTTTTGGAGTTTCTTCAGCTGATTAGGTAAATGTACACATGATCTTAAGTTTAGCTGAACATTTGAAAGATATTGGGCATTCAAAGTGTTAATTTAAATACATGAGTATTATGACTTAATTTTTTTAAATGCATAGTGTAAAATGAGAACCCATTTGGGCTGCAGGGGTCGCCAACCTTTTCAACCTTAGGGACCACCAAACTCATACTTTTAAATCCCGAGGACCACTAATACGAATTTTTTTAAAAAGATAATATATTTAATATAAACATTTTATTTTTATATCAAATATAAGTTTAGTATTAATATTAATATATATATATATATATATATATATATATATATATATATATATATATATATATACATACATACATACATACATACATACATACATACATACAAAACTCACAAGGCCATCACACAACCCATTATACCAACATCAACTCCATCAACCAATCAAGAGGCAGCAGCGCAGCCAACCAGCCCAGCACACCAGCTCCCACCACCAGTATTTATAGAGAGACGGCAGCTCCGATCACACCCTGCTTGCACTGGCACTGGCACGAAGCTGAAAGCACCAGCCTGAGGTTGGCGAGTGGGACCTCGCTGAAACGTTGCCAAGATACTCTTAATCTTACACAGGAAAAGACCCGAACACACCTAGACTTACATACCTGTGAAAATCTACGAAAAATAAATAAATAAATAAATAAATGTGTGTGTGTGTGTGTGTGTGTGTGTGTGTGTGTGTGTGT